AAGTTTCTATTAAACTTTTATTAAAGGTAATTTATTTAATTTTTAAACTTTTTTAATTATTTTTTAAAATCTTTAACTTTTTAATAATAATAAATAAAAGGTAAAAAGTAATAATATTCTTTTAATTTTAATTATATAATTTATCTTCCTTTAAAGGGAGTTCTTTTACTCTAACCTTTATAAAAACTTTTAAACTTTTTTAATTATAGATATAATTAAAAGAGATTAAAGAATAATTTTTCTTCTTTATCTATTCCTTTTAACTTTTATTATTTTTCTTTATTATTTAAACTAAAAGATTATTAATTAAAAGAATAATATAATAATAAATATTCTATTTTTAATTCCTTATAAAAATCTTATAGTTTATTAAATAATATATAAATTATTTTATTAAAATTATTAATTTTTAAATAACTTTTAACTTTATTTAAAAATATTATAAACTTAAAGTTTTTAATAATAAAATAAATTTAAAATACTTTTAATTAATAATAAGAATATTTTAAAAATTTTTAATTTTTAAAATAATTTTTAATTAAAAAGGGATTTAAAAACTTTATAAATAAATATTAAAATATAATTAATCCTTTTAATAAATATTAAGGATTTTTAATTTCTTTAAATTAAATTTTTATAAAAAAATACTAATTAAATCTATTTAAATTTAAATATTAAAGTTAATTTTAATATATTTTTAACTTTATATTATAATTACTTTCTTTAAAATTATAAAAATATTATAAACCTTTATTATTTCCTTTTTTTTAATTTTAATTATTAATTTAATTTCTTTATTTTAAATATTATTTTAATAAATAATTAAAATAATTTTTAACTTTTATTTTAACTTTACTTTTAATAACTTTTTAATTAATAATTATTATAACTTTAAACTTAATTTATAAATATTATAACTTTTATTAATATTAAATAGTTTAAAATATAATAATAAATATTATTATAATAATAATAAATAATTAACTTTTATTATTATTAAAAGATTAAATTTTAAAATAGTTTTAAAATTATTTTTTAAATATTTTAATTAAATTAAATATATAAACCTTTACTTTAAGATTCTTAACTCTAACCTTTTATATATAATAAATTTTAAATTTTTAAAAGTTATAATATTATTTTAAAAAACTTTTCTTTATCTTTTTTATTAAAAGTTTTATTACTTTTTTATACTTTATTTTTAATTTTTATACTTTTTTTTAATTTATTTAAATATATTAACTTAAATTATTTAAATAACTTTAATTATTTTATTTTTAATATTTAATAAATTTAAAATATATTTAATTTAAATTTTTAAAAATTTAATTTTATAACTTAAAAGAAAAACTTAACTTTAAAATTATTATTTTTATATTTTTATTTTAATTTTAAAATTTTAAAATATTAATAAAAATTAAAAGTTTTAGTTTTCTTATTAATAAGTAAAATTAATTAAGTTTTAAATAACTTTAAAAATACTTTAAAGGTCTTTTAAAGTTATTATTAAAAATTTTAAATTTATTTTATTTATAATAATTAAATATAAATTTATCTTTTTTTAAATTTTATATAAATATTCTAATAGTTTTAATATTCTTTATTAATATAATTAAATATATAAATTACTTTTATTTTATTATTATAAAAATTATAATTAAAAATATAAACTCTTTTAAAGTTTATTATTTAATTATTATATTATTATAAAATATAAACTATAAATAATAAAGTAATATTAATTAACTTTAAATCCTTTAATTTAATTTTTAAAATAATTTTAACTATTTTAAGGATATTTATTCTTTATTAAAAGATTTAATTTTACTTTTATTTTTAAATAAGGGTATTCCTTATTAAAAAGTATTTAAACTCCTTTTATTATTATTTAAATTTATTTAAAACTTTCCTTTTTAATTACCTATTTTTAATAATATTATAAATAGTATAAAGGAAAGAATTAAAATTATAATAAACTATAATATTAAATATAATAATATAAATAAAAAAAGGTTTAAAAGTCTATTAAATTTAAATCTAATATAAAACTAATTCTTATCTTTTTTAAAAAAAAGGTAAGTAGATATTACCTACCTTTTAAGGGGCTTAAGGAAGGGGTATAGCTAGGCACTAGAGTGCCTTTAGGGTACTTCCTTATAACTTCTACCTAACTATTATATTTAGATCTTTTCTTTATTTAAAAAAATTCTAATTATTAAACTATAAATCTAAATATATTATACTTTATATATTTTCTTAAAAATTCTATTAATTAAATAGTATATATATTAAATAAAGATTTAAATAAATTAAAAATTTAATAAATAAAATATTAAAATATTAAAGAAATATATAAATTTTTAATTTTAATATTATATTATTAATAATATTTATTATAAATAATATATATATTAAATTTATTTATATAAAATAAAATCTTTTAATTAAACTTTTAAATTAATTATATAAATTTAATATAATATATTTATTAAATAAAAATATTATATATATTATAAAAAAGGAATTTTAATAATATTATAATTATATTATAATAAAACTTTATTAGAATATTTAAGAATAAATAAATAATATTATAATATTATAATATAATTAGAATATTATAGATTTAAATTAATAGTTAAATAACTTTATTTTTATTAATATTTAATTAATATAAATTTAAAAATATTAAATTTAATATTAATATAATTAAAAACCTTTAATAATTATAAAAACTTTATAATATTAATTATTAATTTAATATCTTTAATTTATAATAATAAATTTACTACTTTAAATACTATTTTAAGAATATAAATTAATAGATTATACTATTATACTATATAGTTACTTTTAAATTAATATATATAAAAGTTTTAATATATAAAACTTAAATAAATTTTTAAAATTTTAAATTTTTAAAAGAATTTATATAATTTTAAAAGTTAAATTTAATTATATTTTTATTATTTATTTAAATTATTATATAAAGGAATATATATATATAAAGTTAAATAGTTTATTAAAAATAAGTTATTTAACCCTACTTATTACTCTAATATATAAAGGTTTTAAGTTTAAATTATAATAAAAGTAATATTAAACTTTAATTTCTATAAATTATTTTATATTAATTTTTAATAAAATAAATATATATTATTTTAATAACTTTACTTAATTTTTTTAAAGAAAAATAAAAATATTTTTTATATATTAAAATAATTCTTTTAAAAATATTAATTATTTTAAATTAAATAATTATATTATTAAATAAAATAAATATTATTAAAATAAATATTATAAAAAGTAAGACTTACTTTTCTTTTAATTAAATTAAAGATTAAAGATTAATTTATTAATTAGTAGACATTATCTCTACATTCAATTTTGCCACCGGACCACCACAATCACAATATTTCAAATCAGCCGCAACAAAGTTCTTATTTGGAAAGACAACCCAGATTTCCTACTCGGACATAGTACCTAAGATCAAGTCCTATATTCCAGAAGCACGACCTACGATCCTTATTGGCCATGATATTGCAAATGACCTACGAGTGTTGCAATATCTACATTTCGACTTGCCCAAGTCAGTAATTGGTATCATTGATACCATGGCAGTCACTTCTGAAGTCTTTTCCTCTAAGCTTCGTTGGTCGCTTCGTACTGTTCTTGAAGAACTTCAATGCACATATAACAATCTGCATTCAGCCGGTAACGATGCACACTTTACTCTACGTTGCCTACTTTTACTGGTTTCAAAGAGTGTAACAGTAGAATCAGTGCCAAAATTCCAACATAGGTTGAAGAAGTTAGATGAAATCGGATACTCCGAGATACTCAAGAAGGAGCTGCCTCTAAGTGAAGGTGAGAAGAAAAGGCTGAAGCGACTTCAACGAAGCCGGAAACACCAAGCAAAAACGTGGGACCTTGAGACACAGGAGCGAATCAGGTCAGAACGAGCGCTGAAGAGAGAAGGAGCTCTGTCACATACATCGCAAAGATAGTTTGCATTAGTAGCTAGCTACTCAGCTACTCCCCCGGGAGCGGCTGACCACCTAGGTATGAAAATGGAAGCCCAGACTGTATCACAAGCATTGCAATCATTCTGAGCAACGCATATGGGCTGACTTTATCCTCGGCTTGGTTATCTAGCCTGTAGTCTGGTTGAATGGTCTCGGGATCCGGGCTGCTGGCATACTAGCCTGTATTCTGGTCGAATGGTCTTAGCATCCGGGCTGCTGGCATGTCCTGATACAGGGTAGGGTGTCTTTGTGCGCCGGGCAGGTTAACCGAGCTAAGCCTCCCTCAGGAAATCTCTTCTTAGGTGCACACCCTCTCACCGTAAGCGCAGTCAAATTCTAACCTCACAATTATTCCAGACTCAGGGGCAAGTCAACTCGAGGGATGGATATTCAGGTTAAATCTGCTACATGCAAAGCCAGCCGCATTCGGGCCGCCGACATCCCCAGCGCGTGACAAGCACTTATGCATCTGTTTCGACTACGAGCCAGTCCCTTTCCGCCAGGGCTGCCGTGATCGCCGAGAAAAGATGAGCGAACCGGACAGATCGACGTCTAGATCGCCCATCTTTTGGGCCGAAGCTGCCCTGAACCTGGGCATTGCCGCTGGTCCACATTCTACCGGGGGAGCATGAGTCGGAGGAAGGCTTATCACGTCTGCCCTGCTCGTGGTGCCTGGGCCTTGTCCAGCCGGCTGTGGATAAACCGCGCAGAGACACGGGCGCGCCATCACAGCTCCGTCTAGGTTCCAGGACTACGACTTGACATGAATGTGGCCTCCAGTAATCGGCTTTTCGAGGGCCCATCTGTTCGTACACGATGCTAGAGCCCGCTGTGTCCGTGGCTGCCCGTAGAATGCCCACTGTGTCTCAAACAGGGAGCTTTGCCGGCGGCGCGACTGATCGTGGGCGGTGGATGTTGGGTGGCAGAGGATGATGGAAACATAGATGACATGTTCGTGTCACGGGGTGCATGGACTCAAACGAGGGACAGATGCACACGTCCATTAGACGCTGCGATTCCGGTCTAGTTATGATCACCCGTTCTAGCCATCTAGATCCTCTTATATGCCACATATATGAACCGGGCCGACCTGGCGTCTAAAGAATCCCATCCACCGCAGACAGGCCGCCTGGCCCGCCCGCCCGTCAACAACCACGGCAGTCTAGAACCCCTCGCCCATCATAATAGTCCTGCCCCCACCATACCAAAGCCTCCCGGCCCGCGCGTCAATGCCCTTCTCCTGCCCCACAATCCACTCCCCGACAAAGGCCGACGCGTCCGCGCTGTCCCAGACCTCCCGCTCCAGCCAGGCGTTGACCTCGTCGATGGCCCTCGTCCACCGCTCCCGCGCCGCCGGCGCCGCGTGGTCCCCCTGCGTCAGGTACCGCCCCAGCGTGATGTGCGCGCTGGGCACGACGTAGCGCGAGTCGACGGCGACGCCCGCCGCCGTGGCGAGGTCGAAGGCGTCCCGGCGGACTGGTACGCGTCAGTTAACTAGCCCGAGGTGTCGCGCTCTGGCACACGCTGAAGACCAAGATGGAGGGCTTACGGTGGTGATACGTGTACGTGTCGTCGAGGCCCTCGTGCGGGGCGCCCGAGTCGGGCAGCGGCGACGCCACGGGCTCGCCCGCGGCGGGGAGGAAGGACACGGCGAAGGCGGCCAGGTCGTACGAGACCATGGGCCTCACGAGGCGGGCGCGGCGGGCGAGGGTGAGGTTCGCCAGGGCCGGGATGGCGGGCCGCATCTGGGCCACGAGCCGGTCGATCTCGGCGGGCGTGCGGCTGTGGGTTATCTCGAGGGTGGTGAGGTGCATGCGGTGCGGGGGCATGAGCCAGATGTCTGTTTTGCGGGGGGGATCATGGGCTTGTCAGCTTGGTGGGTGGGCGGAGGGGACACGAGGTTGTTGGGCCTGGACTTCTTCGTGGCGTGTGTGTGTGGGGGGGGGGGGTCTTGTGAGATCTATCTCACAGCACCTCTGGGGGGGGGGAGGATATCGGTAGGCACGTACTGGGCGCCGCCTCCTTCAGCAGGGACTGTATCCTGCTGGCGAGCTTGATGATGTGCTCGGGCGGCCTGGCCCAGAAGACGAGGCAGTTCCTGGGGTCTGTGAAGCCCGGCTCGATGCTGGGGTTCTCCAGCCTGAGCAGGAAGGGGTCGATGAGGACCCCCTTGAACTCGGCCGACAGGAACTTCTCCTTCTGCTGGCCATTTCTGGTTACTCGGTGTGTCGAGTACAACGACTGTATCTCTGCCTGCGAAATTGGTTAGACGGCCATCATGGGTATGTGAAATTGGTGGCACATGATATGAGTTCTGGAGGATGCACTGAGCTGGGCTTCAAGAGGTCGACATCTCGAATCCATCGCCTGTGACTCCTCCCTGGTGATCCCGCCCCCAGCTGGTATCTTCCCACGTATAGTGGTGTATAACCCCCCTAGACCATTCCAACGGCCCAAACCTACCGGATCATTGTGGCAGGCCTCGATCAGGGCCTTGTACGGGTTCTCCCCCGGCCTGATGGCGACGCCTGAGAGGTCCTCGAGCTTGTTCTTGGCGTCGGTCGACTCGAGCGCGGGGCTCATCTTGACGTTGGCCCGGCGTGGTGAACTGAGTTGGGGAGAGGTGCTCAGTATCGGTGCAGTCCACTCGTGTTCTGCACTGTCCGGCACACAGTTGGATGAAAGTAAAAGAGTCACCTGTGCTGGTGGAAAAGGCTAGGTTGTCGGTTGCCGATGGACGCGGTGAGCTGCCGAAGCGGCACCGGCCCGCCCTTGCAGGTCGACTGTGCACCTGCCGCAGTGCCGCGCATTGGCGCAGGCGAGGAAAGAGTCATCACCAGAATTGCCCTCGGTTTTTCTATCTTTTGAACACTTTGAGCTGAATTCGACAACATCATCCTTTTTGAAGTCGAGGTTGTAATGTTGCCTGGACGCTTCGCCACACAAGGGGCACAAGTTTGCAGGACCTTTCATTCTAAAACCCCAATGCAACTTAGAGAAAGCCCTCCTTCACTCATGACAAGGTACGAGATAAATGTTATAGACACCTAGATTCAATATTTACACTTCAAAACAGACTATATTCACAATGAAGACGCTGTCAACACCAACAGCCACCCATGGAACGGCCAAAAACGACGCAGAGCCACAAGTGACCGCTTAGGCCTTGTGACATCCACCACCATGAGAGCCCCGTCCCTGGCCCTGCTCGCCTCGGCCACCATCCGTGGGCTGAGGCGCGGCAGCCGACGACTTCCTCGTGACGAATCCAGTCGCGGACGGCACGCCGGAGCCATCGCCGCCAGCCCCAGCGCCCCCAGTGGGCAAAGGAGCAGGGACCTTGGCCGGGACAGCGGCCTTCCCCTTGGAGCCAGCACGAGAGCCACCACCACCACCACCGCCGCCGCCCAGGATGGCGCTGATTGGCTGCCTGCCGGGGTAAAACGACGCAGGCATGGTGGGGATGGGGATCGGCGACTTGGCGTCCCACCCGGCGGCGAGCTCGTTGGCCATGGTCTCGTACGCCGCGTCGCCCGACGCCGTGACGGTCCTGGTCGACGTGTACGCGGGAGTGGCGCCGCCGCCGGGCTTGAGGCACGCCCCCTCGCCGTACGCGTTCTGGCACCCGTGCAGCACCTGCTTGCCCTTCTCGGTCCACACGCTGAAGTCGTCGACCGTGATGCCCGTGCAGGGGACCGCGGCCGGGCAGTTCATCTTGATGGGCCCGCGCTGCGTGCCGTCGGCGCAGGTGCCCCGCCACCCCGAGAAGGAGATGTTGGAGTAGCTGATGCCGTCGCCGGCGACCTTCTTCATGCTGCCCCACGCGGTGTCGAAGTCCAGCGTGTAGGCGTTGGAGTGGCCCGTGAAGTTGTTGAAGGCCAGGTTCGAGACGGTGCCGGTGCCGCCGTTGGATTTGATCATGTACATCTGGTTCGAGTGGTGCGTGTAGATGTGGTTGTACTCGATGTCGTGGATGTCTTTTATCATGGTCAGTGATGCTGTTCAAGGTGGGATTTCAATATGTCAACTCACTAATGTCAGTGGCCAGCGAGCCCATCGCGCAGCCGCCGCTCCAGTTGCAGTGCACCTGCTCGATCAGGAGGTGGTCCGAGGGGTCCTTGACCGTGACGCACTCGTCCTTGTTGGAGACTTCGATGTCGTGGATCCAAATGTTGGATCCCCAGACGTCGATACCGTCGAGGCCGCCCTGGTAACCGCCATGGATGATCATGTTGTAGACCTCGCCGTTCGAGCATGTGTCTATAGACAGGTGGAACTGCGGCGCGTCGACGAGGATGACGTCGTGCACCGAGAAGTCCTGGACGTCCCACAGGCGCAGGAGACGCGCACCTAACTTGCCCTCCTTGTGGAACTCGTAGCCGTAGCCCTGGATGGCGCCCTTGGAGGTGGCGCTGTAGAACTCAAAGTCGGTCGAGTGCTCGATCATGAACATGTTGCCCTCGTCCCTGCCCGTCCGGTAGATGGTCCCCTCGAGGTTGATGCTGGTCCCCTTGCCCCCCACCAGCTTGACCCAGGTCGCCATGCCGTAGTCGCCCTCGGGGATCAGGACCTCCCCGCCCTTGGCGCAGTCCTTCCACGCCGCGGCGATGGCAGGACCATTGTCTGCCTTCGCATCGGCCTTTCCGCCGTAGTCCATGATGTTGCAGATCTTGTGCTGCTTCGCGGCGGTGCTGGTGGTGGGCCCAACTGTCCCGGACAGCTGGGCTACGGCCGGGAGAACGAGGCCGGCCGTGGCCAGGAGGCCGGAAATGAACATGCGCGGAGCCATGTTGAAAAGAGAAATGAAGCGAATGATGAAGTGTAAAAGAATGACAAGAATGAGCGGTAATGGTGAACGCGCGGCGACCTGCCGGATGAAAGAAGCAAATCACGAAGAGATCAAGAGGACGTTAGAAGAGGATACCCACTAGAAAAAGGGACCCTTATCATGTTAAATCACGGCATGGCATCCATTTCTAACCCATGGCTCACCATCCCGCTGGACACGGATTGTTTCGTTTCACGGTGGAGAAGGCGATCAACGGCGCCCCATGCACCATTCCACATACAGTGGAAGGAAGAAGCGCAATCCTAAGACGTCAAAGCTAAAGCACTTAAAAATCATGCGAGGCACCCCAGGAGAATGAGCAAGGTCGAGAACGCGAAGGGCCCGCAGACCCACCGGACACCACAAATTTCCCTGCGTCCTCAGGGCTGAGGGCGGCAGTGGCACAAGTACAGATTAGGGGTTTGTGTCGTGGTTTGCTCCTTTTGCGGGACGGCAGACGGCGCCAGCTCAAGTCGGGGCTCGCGGCCGTCGACGGGCGGTTGCAGGTAAATTTCGCGACGGGGCCCTAGGACCAACTGGTGACTGGTGGCCAGGCCCAAAATGTCCCGCAATCCCCGTGTGGGGGGTTCTGCCCCCGTCACGCACATCCCAAATTCTCCGTTTTCTCCGTGAAACAAAATCTTTTTATTGCAGGCCGAGGCATCGTGGCTCACCGCCTAGAGCCAGCCGCCAACACCTGAAAGTACGGTCTGGTATGATAGACTGCAAGCAATATCTGCGCCTGGCGTTGAGGTAGAATGTGGCATTGATAGGGGTTAGTGCTTATTGCATACAGCGCCGCCGCCAGGGCCCAGGGCCCAATACCGTTAAATATAATCCACATGGCATCCATAGGGGTTAGTGCATATTTCGATCGCCCTAACCGCTCCCGGATCACCACGGCCCCAGAATTGATCTTCTGTTGACGAATACCCGAGAACAGCTTGACACGCGGGGATCGCTTGCAGAGAACATTCTCAGTTCAGAAAAGCGTGGCCCTTGCCTGGGAGAAAATTGATGCACTTCTCCTCCTATCCGCGACTGATGCAGTTCATTTCGGGGCGGACAGTGAGTACCGGGATCCACAGGACCTCAGGAGATCAGGAATAACTCGAGGTCCCACTTTTCAAGCTCGTGTGCTTATCTTGATGAGATTAGCTTGTTTGTAGCCTCCTATACCAGCCCTTTGCTGGTAAGGGGCACAAATAGAATCAGCTTGTTGAAGACTTGGTTGGAGTGGTGACAATTACACGTCTAAGAAAGGCATGCTTTTTCTTATTGAATATGCGTCATGATGATTCTGGATCTGGCATTGACTTGAAGCTCGCATATATTTGCAAAACACACCCGACACTCTGAATGAAGCCAAATAGGACCGTCAGGGCGAGGACCGAAACCGCAAGCCAGAAGGTATTCAACTGCGCGCCCTTCCTCCTTTCGTCTCGCCATTGAGACAGGGGTTTTGGCTGAGACTCATCGAGAATCTGCTTCAGTATCAGCAATGGATCCATCTAGAACTTGAGGTTTTGGATTCATTCACTCCCCAGTCTCCCTATGAGAGGTAAGGGATAGATTCTTTAAACTATAGACCTGTAGATGGAGGAAGGACGACCCCTTATCTCTACGTAAGTAGATAGTTCTCAGCTAAATTTCAGTCTCTGCCTTGCTACTAGATGTCAATACATACAAATAGTCCATAGTCCATAACTTGTTAATAGAAGCTAAATAGAATCCGTTAATATTAGGCTATGGACGGAGAGGAAACCGTCAGAAATAGCGTACTTTTGCCCCCGCACTGGATGGCACGGACGCCTGTAACCGTCCTGCAGCCTTCAAGAACCACTTTGTCTCCATGGAGGCGATGGGAAATACGAGCTCGAGTGTCTGAATCGTCTCGGCATCCACACCATCTGACAAAAGCGACTGCTCACTTTCTCTATATCATTCAAGGAGGCCGGCGTAGTGGAAGATGTGGACCTTGGTGCCATTATCTGACCTCCGATGGTGATCACATGTGATGAGGTTGTCGGCCCACTTGATGCTCACACCAGCGATCCCGCTGATCATGACGGCGTCGAAGTTCTTCTGCGGCTTGATATTCTCATGGCTCGGGATTGGCGGGCTGGCGAAATGATGCGCCACACGCTCACGCAGGGATCGTTGCACCCACAAAAACTCCGTGCGGCCTGAGAAGCCGCATGGGAAGGTGCCGCAACGTATCATCGGACGAAGGCTTGTGACCAGTTTAACGGCGTTCTCGAGAATTCCCTCTTCGTTCGGGCGTGAAGGGGCGAGCTTCTCGCGGATCATGCCCTTGATTTGCGTTCTCTTGCGGCCAGCCTTAGGTTGCGCTACAATATCCGCAATATCTGCGTGTGTCCTAGTTGCTATAAAATACGTGTACCCGAAGACTTGTTCGGGTAAGAAGTAAGCATAGTGAGGAGGGTTTTTTTATATGAAGCTTTCTCTTATAAGTATTTAAGTAGATTTATTTAATTAGTTAATAAAGTGGATTTAAGTATATTAATTTAATTAGAGATTTATTTAATTAATTAATTAAGTAATTTAATAGATTTATTTAATTAGTTATTTAAGTAGATTTTAATAAATATATTTAATTAATTATTTAAATAAATTTTAATAAATTTATTTATTTAATTATTTAAATACATTTTAATAGATTTATTTAATTAGTGAAATAAATAGTTTTTAATAGATTTATTTAATTAATTTAAGAGATAGATTTTAATAGATTTATTTATTTAGTTAAATAAATAGATTTTAATAAATGTATTTAATTAATTAAATAGGTAAACTTTAATAAATCTTTAAAGAGTTCCTTTTTAAAACTTTTATAGCTTTATATAATCCTACTTATATTATATAGTTTTTCTATATATATTTTATATCTTTTATTTTTTATTTAATTAATCTTTATATAAGATATAGATTCTAATTAATCCTAATATATAAAACATTTTATCGATTTATATAGTAATAGAGAAAGCTCCGCTTATTAGTTTTTTTACGCTTTGTATAAAAAACCCCTCTCGCTACGCTTAATGAATCCTACCATTATGGAGGGCATGCTTGCACCCATCCATGTAGAAGTTTCATTACGGTGTCAACTTATCACCGATGTGGTGTGCTCGTCCAAGCTACCTAGGTACTTGGAGCTACCTGCCCAGAAAATAATGTCCGGCTTCTCTTTCCGGCCCTCGACTTCAGTCATCCAATAGGCACGTATCAAGGAGTGTGTGTTTGGGCGGGATGTGAATCATTGTAGCCAAGATTTCACGGTCGTACCTAAACAGATACTACAAGCTGAGTCCGTTCGCAGATTCAAATGGACTAGTCCTTACGCATCCACGAGAATTCTTGGCGAGGCTGGCAGATCTGATATCGAGCATTGGCCACGCCTGATTTGGGCCATCTCAACGCAGGGGTTGAGATGGTTCGAGGCGAGCCAGCATTTATAGTGTAGATCTATTGTACTTCAACAATAGTTGGAGAGTTTTGATCTGTACATGTGAATCAAGTACTGAGAACAACGGGCTGTGTTTTAAGCGCCGTGGGCCGATGACTTGAGAACGTAGTGAGATAACGGCAACACACCTAGACCCGAAAAGAGCGTACACTGCATGGTAGCTGTTACTGTAAATATATATCTATAAGTGTTTTTAGTCTTTAAATATAGTAGTAAATACCTTAGTATCTTTTATATTTATAAATAATTTAATAAAGCTAACTATTTTATAATTATTATTATATATAATAAATAGTATTAAATAGAAATTAAAATATAAAATATTATTTTACTTATATTTTTATAATAAAAAAAAGTATAATAATAAGTTCTATTAAATATTTTTATAACTTTTATATTTTTATTATTTATATAAACTATTTACATTTTTAATTCTACTATTAAGTTAAAAGTAAATAGTTAGAGTTTTAAAAGAATAAAATATAATATATTCTTTAAAAATTAACTTAGCTAAGTTTATTATATAGAACTTTTATAATAACTTTATAATTTATTATATTTATAACGCTATTTATTATTAGAAGATATCTTTTTATATTAATATATTAAACTATATTTAGTTAATTTAAACTAATATTATTAGTTTATTAAAGGTTAAAGTTATTATAAATTATAGGCTATTTAATCTTAATACTATTAAGTATTATATATAGGATTACTATATAACTTAAGTAAGTTAGCTAAAATAAGTGAAGATAAAGCTACTATTCCTCTAAGGGATATATATAGGTTCTAGCTCTACTTAAGTAAATACCTATCTAGTAAACCTAAAAGACTATTAACTTAATAAGTAAAACTACTTAAAAGTAGTTACTTAATTAACCTATTAAATTGAGAGATAATTAGGTAAGGTAATTATACTTTATTATTTAAGTTTATAGTTCTAATAGCTTTATTATAAATAGAAGAAGAAATAATTATTAATAATTAGATTTATAATTATATAAAAGTAGATCTTTATTTTAAAGAGAAGTTATTAATATTTAAGATAATTAATATATTTTTAAAGAAATTAAGGGATTGTAAGCTTAATTTAAAGGAAATTAAAATCTATAAGAATCTTATATTTAAAAGGGTTTATTATTTATATAAAAGTTAATAAAATTAATATATATTTATATAGTAAGGATTTATAAACACTTACATTTTAAATCTTAAGCCGCCTAATAAACCTAGCTTCCTAGCAGGTCCTAAATTTTCAAGCTGTTAAGGTGCGCCTAGGAATCAGATAGCTGAATGCCATTGGTAGACAGGAAGATTATATTATATAGACCATTATTTCATTACTGGTGATAGGCGTGTTCAAGTATCGAATCACCATCAATTGTTGAGAGGCACACAGCGCAAATCCTTCGGAGCCTCCAATACACACAACACCTTAGAACCCATTTCAACACCCATCCCTCCCAAGCCACTTGAAAACCGGTGCCTTAAACTAAAGCAAGTCACATACTTGTCCAACGAGCCCCCACATACCCTTAGCTGTCACGGAACTTCTTGCACTTCTTAATACACGTTGCCCCGATGAGCGGGCAGAACTTCCCCATACAGCCTCATATACACATGTCCTTTTCCTTGTCGTTCCCCGTGGTCCCTGGCAGTCAGATCGTCCGCCTGTGCAAGCTCGCGCGGAGCCAGTTCAAGCTAGGTCTCTGCCCACCCAACCACTTCATACATGGGCTCTGCCCACATAACATCTTCGTGTTTCACTGTTGGCCACCCTTTCAGTCATCATTGGGCCATGGCACTGTCACTGTTGGAATCCCTTTCAGTGTACCCTCGGGCACTGCCAGCTCGGGGGGCCGCTCTCCCAGTGGATCCTCGGGCTTGACCTTGGACTCGTAACACCACGCCAACGAGTTACCCCGGTAACCCGCAGGCGCGCAAACCTTTACCGTTAGCTCGTCATCTCGGGCAGCGTCAGGGGTAGCAACGTTGGGGGTTGGGGCCGCTGCGACGAGTGTGGCGCCCAGAACGAGGATGGTCTTGAGGCTGAGATACATCGTATGTAGGGGGCTTAGTAGTGGCACTGAAGTTGAATGGTGCACGAGTGAATGATTGAGAGATTCCGGGGATTTGGAAAAGAAAGGGGAGGTTGCTTTCCACGGATGAAAGACTTTGCCAGGGGGGGGGTTCTCAATTACTTATACCCAGTCGACCTCAATAGTACCACATGTCATTCCCTGTGATTCTACTAGTACCGAGCATGAAGCCGTACGAACTTTCAAAATACGCGATTGTTCATAAAATCGCAGTGCGTAGGCGCCATCCCCATAGCGCAAGGGCCAGTCAGCTTGGCTCGGCCCATATACCCCGCCCAGAAACGTAGATTGATGTGTCGATTACGAAATTTTACAATGTTGAGAGTGTTTGCCACTGTATGATGAAGGCGCTACAGTGTATAGGCTCGGTCATATACGCAATAGAAACGAAACCATGTTTACAATGTGGAGGTACGTGCAACGTCCGTGGCAGCGGTAGTGTCTTTACGGTGTCCAAAGTGCGATCTCCCTATCTATCGTTGGAAGCAAGCCGAGCTTATCATTGATTAAGATCAAGTCCCTTGATGTCCGTTGATGGCTGTGTGCTCATAAATCGACGAGGCATCTTTTAAAGTTGAGCACTTAATTGGTGGGCATTTAGTCTTAATCACCTAGGTACCTAGACAGTTATTTTACTGTACTGACAGTTACGCGCGTCACCCGCCGGCAAAGGAGTGTGGATTGGTAATTCGTAGGTGTCGTTAGGGACAAAAGCTCCCCCAAACTGGCTGCAGATAGGCTCCCTCTTAACACCCCGCCGTTGGCCTATTGCTCCTTCCAGTCATCACGACATAGCCTCCGATACCACTTAGTCTCGGGTAGTGTACTTTGATCATGCCGTTTACACCAACTTAATTCGCCACCGTTTGCCTTCATGTGAAGCAGCAGCATGGCATTGTTGCAGGCATAGCTGTGGTTAAGGGTGAATCCGCCAGCATGGTCCTCATGCACCATGAGCTCAGGCAGCACTGTGTGAAGACACCGAGTTCCTCAGGGCGGACGTCGTGCTGGTTACATTTTCCAATCCATTTGTTCAAGTAACTCAATCAAGACGGAGTAAGGAGTTTAATGCCCAAATTTACAGTCCTGTTTGATGTCAAGAATTTGAGCTGATTGCAGAGCTGGATCAGGGACTGGCAGTATTGGGAAATCACAGTGTGCTGGAGAACCTTGTATTAAAGGAAATTATCTCTAGCTGCCCGCGTCTATCAAATCAGCTCCGTGGAGTCCCCGACACAAAAGAAAAAGCAAGCAACAGAAACAAGTGTTGTCATATCACCAGCATCGACATGGCTTTCACTTGAATGCCGTAAGTAATAATCGCTTCACCTGGCCGGTCTGTTCTCCCGTTGCGCCGCTCCCAGACCAAGCAATGAAGCGTCGCGCGACATGCCCCACCACAACACCTCATGGCTTGGGCACGCAGCACCGGGCCTTGTGCAACGCCATGATCTTCCTCACCCCCGCACCATCTTCCCACGACACGTCTTGAATTGTGTAGCGCCCCATCTTCTCACCCTCTTCCATGGAGTATATCTTGCGTATCTCCTCGATGGTCCGAGGCTTCCAGGCAAGCCTGGAGAAATCCTCCCAGCCTAGCTTGGACTTCATGAGGGGGTCACGGGTGTATTTGTTGGGCAGGCCAGGAGGGTACCGTACGCAGGGGACCTCCTTTTCCGTGCGATGGGCATCACAGTGTCGGATGCCGATAACGTGAAGCATCTCGTGGGCCAGGATTATGGTGAGGTTCTGCTCGAGGGCTCTCAACCTAGCAGCCTTGATGTCTCCACCCTCACCGACGGTTTCCTTCAGAAACCGTTTCTGTTTCCTGCTCAGCGTGAGCCCTAGCTTATAGACGTATATGTACCAGTCCTTGGGGTGTGAACCTGGGAAGAAGGAGGAGGCATAGCGTCGGGGGTCATCACCCCCGAAGGAGATGTAGAAGGCACTGTCAGAGGGTTCGTCGACATAGTGGAACCGAGGACAAGCGTTTTTGGCATTCAAGCTGTCCAGGACTCGACAGAGGCACCTTTTGACCAGAGATGCTTGACCGTTTGACTCAAAAGTTGAGGAGTCAATGCCGATAGGAATGGAGTTGCTTGTCGGGCGCCAGCGGAGCGCCAAGACGCCATTGACGTGGAAGTTGAGATCTCTTGCTGCCGGTGTCCCAATGGTGGTGCAACGGATTGACACAGGTCTCAAAATGAGGATGGTTACGTCGCGACGAGCGGTGCCATCGTCGACGTGCGGATCACAGGCCTTGAAAATGGACGGCCAGTGTCAGTATTGGTAGGTATTGTTGATATTGATGAAACATCGAAAGAGGAGAGAAAGGCAGCGACGCCTACCACAACTTGAAGCGAGCTCGAATCCTCAAGGGCTCCGGTATGGACCGAGTCACCATCTCGCACTATATCACAAGCGAGAGGATCTTTAGAATCACCGACGATGAATCTCGGCTCCGACTCGGCGTAAGGTGGTGGCAGCGTCTCGGAACTGTTCTTGACCACTGCCGGGTCGTGTTCGGCGTATGGTGGGGCCGAGCCGACATATACGGCCTGGTCCGGCCCCACGGAGGGGCGGGTACCAGAAGGCGGCAGGGTTAGGGTAGGCGTATCACCCCGGACTATATCCTTGTTGGTGTCACTGATGGGAGACTCAGCACTGGCAGTGCTGGACGATTGGGAGATGCAATTCATCCTGATGTTGTTGAGCAATATCTTGGTCTGCTGAGATGTATTGGGAGAAATAATTGACAATGTGTGACTGTTGGCACGCGAGTGGAGAGGGAGATGCGAAGAAAGAAAGAGTGAGAGGGACGAGAACACCAAGAGCAACAGGGAAGGGGGGTCCATTTTGTGCTCGAGCAGCGTGCTTACTTGTCTTCCGTCTGGTCGTAAAGACTTGGTGGGCAGGACCGGGCCTGGGTTCCGACCCCGGTACACGCCGCGGCCGGCGTACACCGGTGTGTAGAAGCTGTGCGAGGCGGCCTGCCGCCGGAGTGTCTGTACACAGCTGTGTAGACGATCAGCTCGTGTCGGAAGCCAAGGCGTGCATATGCAGGGGGCTGTTCACAGAGGCACCTCCAATGGCACGACGCCACGGCTCGTTGTGGCTGCACGTGTGACCAGTGAATAGCTAGTGCTTACCCTGTGCTCCCACACGCATTCACCTCATAGGATCGGAATACGAATGTCCGTCCGGGCCCCTGGCAAGCTGAAGCGGCTTGCACACACCGGTGTAATCGCCCGGCTTGTGTAGAAAACCAATCGTCCCCGAATCCTCCCTCCTCTGACGTACGCTTGCCGTCCTCCGGACCTCTTGACATCCATGCCACTCGTTGCGAATGCACCCGTCGTTTTCACGCTCTACGGATAAGGTCTAGCGCCTTGAGATCCTGTATTGACAAGCCCGTGCAATATCCGGCAGTCACCACTTTCCCCCAGCTCGAGACCACTGGTCACGTGGTGCGCCCGCCTCACCACATCTCTCATCTTCCAAAACAGAACCTCGCCAACAGCCTGGTTGAACAGCGATTTGGCCGGCTACACATCAAAACCGGAAGAAGACGAGAGCGCTTGAAAACGTGTCTTCGTCGTGCGGCACGGTGGGCTCTCACTTCTTCGCAGCGCATTCGCCGCGCGATCATGCAGCTGGACTTCGTCCTGCGGAAACAGCCCAGCGAGAATCTTTCCACCTGGTACCAAGCAACCCACCATTCTGCGGAGGCTTCGGAGTAGAGGCACAACCTTTTAACGACAAAGACCGGCCATTTCACCCACAGGAACCATGAGGGCTTCCACGCAGGGCCCTGCTCGTACCGACAACGGTACTGGATCCGGGCGTAGAGGTGCCCTTGGAAAGCGAGCGCGGAGAAATGACGATGAGGATCACTACAGCGACCTCTCTAGAAATACACGAGCGCGGACAGATGACGAGGAGCATCACTCCGACCATCTCTCTAGAAAAGCGCGAGCGCGGAGACGTGACGAGGAGCGTCACGATAAGGATCTCTCTACAAATGCACGAGCGCCTGCAGATTCATCTTTCGCATGCCCCTTCTACATGCACGACAGGATGAAGTTCAAGAAATGCCTCCGTTATCAATTTAAGCGCATAGCCGATATCCGGCAACATTTGCGACGATGTCACCAGCAACCGGTGTACTGTCCAGTATGTGGCACCATTTTTGATGACTCCAACACCGAGGGCCGGGATCGACACCTCAGAGCCCGAAATTGTCAACCGGCGCCCTTTCCGCCGCAGATGGACGGCATCACGATGGAACAGGAGCGCGCCATCAACAGCCTTCGTTCGAACCGACACTCGGGCTCGGGTTCCGACGGCGCTGGTAGATGGTATCAATTATGGGATGTTATATTCCCTGACGCCTCTCGACCACACTCGCCCTATATCAATGAATCTTCAGTCGTACGGGAAATGATGGATTTCAGAGAATTGCTGTTTACTACTGACAGTTGGAAGCAACTTGCGGAGAAATCACCACTGTTGTTGGAGGCGGTGGGTGAGTTCTCACGGCTTGAAATCACTCGGAACATAGTTGACGGATTTATCACACTGTTTGGGACCCATGACGATGCTGGCTCTGTAGGCCCATCCAGTAATGACGGACCGCAGAGACCGACATTCGCCTCTGGGTGGACACATGAACAACCTGCCCCTGCCCTTCACCAAAGTTTATCATCCCCTGGAGGACTCGACACTGATGACCTTGTGGCGGTGCCCAGCTTATCCCATGCTTATATTTACAACTTCGCTCCTCCGCATTTATCAGACAGCTATCCGCCACCCGAATGGACGCCGCCAGGGGAATACCCGCCAGGCGGATTCTCGCCAACCGATCCTAGTCTCACAAGCATCAGAAATCGACGAAACGAGTCAAGTCGACCTCAAGATTCCGCCTTTGATACCTTTGATCTTCGATTTTAGGCTAAGAATCTGAATTCTCTCTTGAACTCTCAGGAAATTTGGCCCAAAATGTGATTCGAAATGATTCGGAATTTCTCTAAAGCCCTAAGATCTTCCACCCTGAGTTTATTTGCGTGAGATCATGGACGACCTCCTCTTAAGGAGGCAGCGTCGGTCTCACGAGTTTGAGGCCCGGAAACGATGAATGTATCAAAATGCAACAGGCCCTAATTCTTCCGGGGACAGAACGCCTGGCGTGAAACTGGATTGAATATGGTCTTGAACGTTTACCACTGTATTAAGGCGCCACAGACGTTTTATATGTATGGGAATTCAAAACGAAACCACAAAAGGCAGGAAGCTGTCATACTGCATTACGTTCTCTCTGGATGGAGCTACGAGACGTCATGTCACAAGGTCTGGCAACGCTTCGCCGAGGGCACAGTGCTTTGAAGAAGAGCGGCTCGACATGCTCCACCATATCAACAGAATGAGGCGCGCAGATTTGTCCAGGGACCGCCTAGCTGTCCTCGAAAAAAAGACACATTAGAGGCCCAGGAGCTGGAATCGTATCTTATCCCATGGGACTCGCTGGGTATGGCTGGACACACCCAGCCACCAGTCACAAAGCTCGTTGGCACAATGAAGCAAGACCCTAGCGGAAAGGAAAGAGAGGAACCTCCTTTCACGGGTACTACCAGCTACCCCGGGCAACAGTGGAACCCATTCGACGATTTTTGGATTGAAGATGATGAGTGAAAATACTGCGGTTTGTGGGAATTATGTTAACGGATGCCATGTCAAGTGGTTTCGCTTCTATTCCGTATACGACCAAGGACATACATGGCGCCTTCATACGGTGGTAAGCGCTCAAGACCCAGCGCTTAAAAAGGACATGATGTCGATGGCTATAGTCATAATACCATAGGTGGCCGTGTTAAATTGTTACCTGTTATTTGTGTCGATCACGAATGTGCATTTGTGTGGGATGTGTTTGATCTAAGACCTAATATTTCTGGAACCTTACATAGGTAGACTTCATCCCGGTGAGAGGTACTCAATAGTCCTCTAATAGCTTAGACATGGCGTGTGTGCGCTTTAAAGACAAACCTTTTTGACATACAGAAATGCTTACTTGCTACATGACTTACAAGGACCATTAGAATCCACCCCATGCAAATATTCCATGAAATCTTGGTTAGGCTCGATGATGCTCGCCAGGGTACAGCTCTCAGCCAGGAAGAATAGCAAGGTCATCCATGTTGACCATCATTTGCGGCGTCTTATGATCGATCAACGCCAGGCAGACCCATGTTTTGTCCACTGCTGCAGATGCTGATGGTTTTGAAGAGCTGCAAGATCAGTTTAGCTCCCCGCCCGATGCGAATCGGCCCATCCGAGACAGGAGACGTTCTTGATACTCGGGCTATCTTTAATGATGCAGATCTCTCTGAAGTACTCATTTACCAGGTTTTCACTGGATGAGCTCTGCATGTCATAGCCTTTCCAGTTATCTACATACCGGGCAGTTCGGATTGTAAGAGCAACCCGCCGCCGGCTTCACCGGGAGCGGGAGCTGATCACTGTCTCAATGGACATCTCCTCATGTTTCAACTTCTCCGCATCCCTCGTCCCATGTTCCCATCCCATGCCTTCACCCAAGAAGTCGACAACCAATTATATATCAAATTGGCAAGAGACTGCATTCTCGACGAAGACTAGTAAGGCAAAATTCGCCACGCCTGAGCCTTGTTCCTCGCTTCTTTCTTCCCGTGGTTGAGGTGGGGCCGTCGGTGCCAGTGGAGACGGCCCGAGACTCCTGGTCAGCCAAAATGACGCGCAAGCCAAATCTAGCATGATGAACTCTATCCTGAATCAGGGGCGATGGATTAAGCTTTAGCGGCGCGTCAACCGTCAATGCGACGCTGACAGGTAACGCTACCTGCGCCGGAGTTGCGCAAAGACCTTCGCTAGTATCATTACATGATAGCATCTACAGCTGGCATGTGCAGGCTTAAATGAATTTTCGTCATTATTATGTGACGGACAGATCTTGATGGAGCCTACTGAACGGTGCTTAAGTACGGGTTTTCTTTTGTTGGTTTTTTTGGTTCCGCAGCAGATGTTTAAGCTCGATCGGCAGATTGCCGGGAGAACGTAGTCGACGAATTGGGTAGTTCGAGTCATTTCTCAGGGACAAGTTGATTCGATAAGCCCCAAGAAATTGGGCCTGAAGTATACCAATTTAGAACAAGCATGCACGAGTAGCTCCAGCAACAGGTCTCACGGCGTGAGCTCTATTTGAATGTGGAAAGCCAAAATCGTTTCAGGGGCCGAAGTTAACCCAGATCATGAAGGCAGGTTTCAGATAGACTGGCCACGGAAGGCGACATGGACCACATAAGAAATGGCACAGACCCCCTGCTGGATAGCTATTATTATATTGTCTTTCCCTGGCCACCTGTATTCGTCAGTATTATGCACTCCTTTGTGGCCGACGACACGCCAACATCATCATGTTATTACAAGCACAGCAGGTCTCGCCTAGATCCAAAACCTTTAAGACCACCATACTTGCCGCGTCAGTGGTATTATGTTTCCTGGTTTATCAAGCGTGGAACCACCAGGACCGTATCGCCGATGAATTAGCTGAGCATCTCCGCATACCTGCAGGATACTGCCTTGGCCAGGCTGTTGATAGTCGCCCAGAGCCAGCAGAAGTGGCCCAGCCAGTGGCCGACGAGGGCATCCCGAAAAGGATATGGTACAAGCTTGGGCCGAAGGGCAAGAGTCCGGACATCGAAGCGTGGACGCAGAGCTGCATCAAGCAGAACCCAAGCTACAGATATGAGTTCTTCTCGGACCCATCGGCCGATTACTGGGTTGAGCAGACTTTCTCAGCAACACGGCCCGACATCGTCGAAGCATATCTGAGCCTTACTGTTCCGATTCTTAAAGCGGATCTCCTCAGATACCTCCTGTTGTATGTCGAGGGCGGCGTATGGTCAGACCTAGACGTATCGTGCGAGGGCATCCCGATCGACCAGTGGATCCCGGAGGTGCACAGGAACGAGACCTCGCTGCTCGTCGGCTGGGAATTTGACGCAGGGTGGAGCTGGGACTACACGCACGAGTTCGCCAGCTGGACCATCCTCTCCAAGCCGAGGCTACCACACATGCTGATGGTGATCAATGACATAATGGATTCGATCCACCGAAGCACGGCAGAGGCCAACGTCACCATCGCCGAGCTGACGATGGAGATAGTCGGGGACATCGTCGACTACACCGGCCCGAGGCGGATGACCCGGAGCATCATCAAGAGCCTGGGGCTTGCTCGGGGTCGACCAGTTGAGCGGGAGGAAATCGAGAACATCCGAGAGCCTTTGCGTATTCAGGATGTCACCATTCTTCCAGGCTATGCGTTCGCCAACTTGACCAACAAGTATGATGAGGCAGATGGTCCAATCGGCGAAACGTTGGTAACTCATCACTACGCGGGCACGTGGAAGAATGAGAATGGTGGTGAACTGGCTAGGAGACAGCCACGGAGGATATAAACTGCATTGTGGTGTTTTGGCGTTGGTAGATCTTGAAGTACAACAATTCGATCATGTACATTATTTCTTTTTTGGCTTAACCGTTGAAAAATCGGGTCCGGCCGACGTGACCTATTCATTTTGCTCCAGTGACAATTTGGACAGAGTCTCAGCAAGACCGTAATTGGAACCGCCTTCCAATTGTGATTCGATGGCGGTGTAAAAGCTTGGTCATTCGCCCAGGCACAAAGAGGCACCACCTCATTCCGCCTCACTTGAGATTATCAATAAGGCGATTGCCAGTCCGTTCCGTGCCAAATTCGCAAAGCCAAACCACTTCCACGTGGTGGTCCTCTTTTACCCTGGTCAAATCCATTGTCATCAGATTGCTGATGCTTCCACGTATTGTATTCCAAGGTTCTCTCTGCTCCGCTAGTAACGTTGTACTTTCTTCAACGCAAACGGGCCACATATGTTTTGTATGTTAGGGGATCAAAAACGAAACCACAACAGTGCCCAAAAGCAGTCATCCCTTTGAGCTAGCAAACAAAAACAATCAAAAACAAAGCCTTGTGTGAGGGAAAATACGATCCAGTACGTAATGAAGGTCGCAGCACAGCCAAATCGTGGAGCAAGCAGCCCAGCCCAGCTTGGCAACAACCTGATAGCGGTCTTGGAAAACGTCCCCAATTGGTACAGGGTATAAAGCTAATGCCAGAATCACTTGTTTAATCCCAAGGAAGAGGTCTGCGGCTTCAATGCCGCTGAATGAGAAAATAGGAGGGGGAAGTGGTGTGGCCCTTGGCTCGAAAGTTTTTGAATGAAAGTAAAGGACGGGATTGGAGGCAGAAAAGTCCTTCCGGCAGCAAATCCAGTCGGGAATAACTGCTTCCGGGCTCTGAGAAATGATCACAAAAGGTAACTTCACGGCAGCACCGCTGAGCTTACAAGATGATACATAGCAGCAGCTAGCCAATGAATGCTTTGAAGTCTTATGAAGTGATGGTCATTGGCATGGCTCAGAAAGATGGACGTCAAGTTTGAGTTGGGGACAGAGCTGGTGGTTGGTGGAGACATGCCTGCAAGTGTGTGGCAAAGACGAACACAACCAAGAGTGCGCACCCTGGGCAGGCATCCCCGTGCTTTCTTTTGTTTCCTACTTTGTGACATTGCTACCTTTTGCAATGTGGATATTGTCAATCAAGAACTCTCCTCAAAACAATTTCATGAGTGAAAGTTATTGGAATGATGATATCTCAAAGTAGGTATGGTCTTCTGGAGAATCCATCTGTATGGTAAATTAAAGCACCTAGTATGTCTAATAGTAACGATAAATACCAGCCTTTTCAGACATGGATGCCCCAATCAAGGTTAATTGTATCCAGTTCAAGAGATCAGGGTGATAATGAAGCATAAAATAGCCTTTCTGAACTACGAGATGGAACAATAGCCGGGGTTTTGACAGAGTAAGGAAATCTTTTCACATCCAGTGAAAGCAAACAGACTGATGGCCTGTGAATCACTAAGGATAGGTACTGAGTCCTTTGGGCTGGTCCATCTTTGACAACCATTGGAGCCGAGAAATTCACGTCTAGTGCGGCGGTTCGAGTGAATGATAGCCTGCGATACCTCGCAAACACCTGTGACTCGCACTCGAAAACGGTCTGCGACGGCTCTTAGCTTTTTCGAATGGCGACTGCTTGCTGCTTCTTTGGTTGCACGCAACGACACACGCTTACCTCCTGCCTCCCGTGGATCAAGACGCCGCGCCAGTCATCGCGAGTTCTGACACGAGAGAGAATATGGACACCAGCGTCAACGGCACTGTTCCTCCGGATTGGCCACCCGGTCTTCCGACCCGCGCCGCGCTCGACATTCTCGAGCTGGCTTTGACAGACGACACCCGAATCTGGTCCTGCGGCTACCCAAGGCTTACCATGGCCCAAGGAAATCTCCCCAAAGACCCAAACCCCATGCTGTTCATTGAGAGACCTGTTTTTGCGCAGTCAATCCCCAATATGGTTAGTATCGCCTGGTCTTTCGAAAGGTCAATCACGTTAATAGGCTGTCATGAAGGTCGCCCCGCAGGATCAAGAGGACTCGGACCTGGAGCTAGAGCTCGAGTCCCTATCATTTGGTGACCTTTCGATGATGGTCGTGGACAATATTCGGGACGCCCTGCTCAGTCCTCCTGACCAGCACGATGCCGATTCTCCCGCGAACACTACGAAAGATCACTCTCTGGCTCTACATCTGCCGCTCCATCCACAGCCGAATGGCATCCTTCAACTTGACTCCTCGATCGACACCCCCACAAGCTCTCCCCACACGGGCGTGGGTGATGTGATCGAGCAACAAACGGACGATCTGAACGGCTCCCAACTCCCCAACAAGTCCCAGCTGGTCCAAAGCGAGGCAGATCTCGAGCCGCCCGAGGGCGTGGAGACCCAATCCAAGCCCAAACGCATCGTCAAGATCAAGTCCCGCGAAGCTGTTTTGTACTATCGAGAGCTCAACAGGAGGGACGAGATGGAGGCTAACATCGAGAGGAGGATTGCCAATGGCGAGACTAGACCGTCCTCTGAGTCTGCACACTTCGATGAGGCCGTTTGGAATTGCGATGCTGGTTTTGATGTGCCTGGCGACTACGCCTGGCTCGACAGGTCGCGCTAAGACTTACTCAAGTCATCCACCAATCACTGGCACTGGCACTGGCAGAGCCAGACTCAGCTCCGGAATTTTACGCATGGGAGGTGTTTATGGGGACAGTTGCTTGCTTTATGGTTGAATGAAAGTTGCTTGGTCCCATCACAATTACATCGCCTCCAAGTTTTGTGCCCGCATGTATGTCAAGAGAATCTATGATCGCAATGCTTTCGATCGTACCACCACCTCGAGAAAAGAAAAACCGAAGAAAAAAAAACCCCCCCCAAAAAAAAAAACACGCGTAATGCCATTTTCCAGACACCAGTCTTATAACAACCCCATGCCTCCGTATATGGCCGACCAATCCTTGCTCAGGAAGCATGCAATTTGGGAGACTCGCTCTCTGTTTGCTTCGAAACATTACCCGCCAAGGCCTCTGATAAACAAGTTTTCATGGAGATCATGGCCTCCTGGCTGTGGAGTAGAACTCCTCTTAATGTTCCCAGGTCAGCAAACAGAGAGATTTGTATCGCGAAACTACCATTAGGGATTCTTGGAGCGACCATGCCAGGAGCATCCACAAAATACAGAATTATCTCGACATTCTGATGAGCTTAGGCCTTGCAGCATGCGACAATACTGCATGTGTTACTTTCGATGCAGGATGCCTAGCTGACTAGGTACCTAGCTTGGCTTGCGACCTGCAGGACTAAAGCGACCTCGGGAGGCATGCGATGAAAATGCCAGGCTCCTGAATGAACATTGCGTTACATGGAATAGCACTCACAAGCTTCGGGATGAACGTGCCGTTACGGTCCTAATAGGTACCATTTTGGGAAAGATTATCCACAATTCTGGCTCAAGGACTGGCAATTGGAGGGCGCCATTCTCTGTTAGTGGGCATGATTGTTGTACAAGCCCACCTTGGCACTTCTAGACTCCTTGGCATCTGTATGATCGCTTCCCTCGAAAACAGAGGCCTGATAGGCCCACTAGGCGACCACATCATGGGATTCTGACACCCATACTATGGGTGCCTGGATGTCAGCTGTCTTGTCTTCTTACGGATTGAACTACCTCTTCTTCCTCACTTACGGCACCATGAAGCTCATCAATTGCACCACACTCCGAATTGAAGATGTCTTCAACTCATCAACCACCAGGCCGTATGCCATTCTCTCTCATCGCTGGGAAGCCGATGAAGTTACCTACCAGGACATCATGAGCTCCCAACCTCCGACTCACAAGGCCGGATGGATGAAGATACGCGAAGCCTGCCGGGTTGCCCAGTCGATGGGCTACGAGTTCGCATGGGTGGACACATGTTGCATCAACAAGCAGGACTTTGCGGAGCTCACCGAGGCCATCAACTCAATGTTCAAGTGGTACGCCAACGCAGGCGTCTGCATAGCCTACTTATCAGATGTCACACCCGAACAGCCTTCTGTAGAGGACTCCCAGTGGTTCACAAGGGGATGGACGCTCCCGGAGCTCATTGCGCCGGAGGTGGTCGAGTTCTTCGACAGGGAATGGAACCACATCGGGACCAGAGCGGAATTGTGTAATGAGATCCGCCGAATCACTGATATTGATGAGAAAATCCTTCGCTACGACGTCTCCTCAGGCAATACCATCGAGGGGCTACTGTCTGAGGTACCCGTGGCGCGAAAAATGTCATGGGCGTCCGGACGAGCCACGACCCGCGAGGAGGATATGGCGTACAGCCTACTGGGAATATTCGGTATCAACATGCAACTGCTTTATGGTGAAGGGAGTAACGCGTTCATGCGTCTCCAATTGGAAATCATGAAAGAGACCAATGACATGACCCTGTTCGCATGGACTTGCTCCTCGGACAACCCTTACCAGCAAGGTGCGCCCGAATATCGAGGGATCTTGGCGACTTCGCCAGGCGAATTTGAGGACACGGGTAATGTGGTCTTTACTAGAGACATCAAATACAACCCGGAGGTAAGCCAAGCTACCACACAAGCGAGACATCTGGAGAGAGTGCAGGACTCAGAGCTGACACTGGAGCAGTATACAATGACCAACAAGGGACTGCGAATTGAAACTAGGTTCGTCGTAGGTGAAGACACAACGCATTTCCTCAAGCTCCAGTGCAAATGGGACGACGGACCCCCCGGCCAGTCTCTAGCAATTCCGCTGAAAGACCACGGCGGGGGGATCTTCCTCAGATCAGATCCAGACCGATTCGTCATGCTCCCCGACGACGATTTACAGGGGAGAAATTCCACAATCTACATCAAGAAACACATCAGGATAGTGGAAGAGCCTCCACTATACGCAGAGACTGAACGCGTGCTCCGCAAGGCATACCAGTTCCACACAAGCGGCCCGAAAAGAGTGACGATACAGAGGGCCGTGCCTGAGACCAAGTGGAACAGCCAGAGAAATATGTTCGTCACAGAAGGCCTCGACTCGTTTGAAGGCTTCGTGGAGTTTCGCATTCCCGACGCAGGATCGAGATATAAATCTTTTATAGTGGCCTGTGGATTTGCGGCACCAAACAGGGACTGGATCTGTACGGCCTCAAGCTACGAAAACGAGGCACTTTACATGGCTGCAATGAAGGGGGACTTGAGCCGGATGCGAAGGCACGCTGCCACTGCGAAGCAAGTTTACAATTCCCAGGTGACGACGAGGCTGCCGACGGAGGCTGAAGTGACTGTGAGAACACGGCTCCGGACAACAGAGCCAGTTTTTGACATATATGTTGAGGCTATTACAGAGTGTCTGATTATGTAGATGGCCTTAAGACCTGAAGTTAATCAAAGAGGCAATAATGTCGAGCGAGATACAGATTAACCGAGCTCACTACCTCGACATCGCTGGGATTTAGCTGTGTATATCTATGCTTGAGCTATTACAGAGCAGCTGTTACTTTATGAAACGAGCTGTCTCAGTGCCCCATACAAATAGCCTCTCTTCTGGCGAATTTATTTCAACTATGCCTGGCCATAGAAGTGTCGAACGATGACCCCGAGCGGTAATGAAAGTTTTCTTGGGTGCTCCTTGATGACAGGTACGGGAAGTGCTCTTCAGTAGGCGCTGCTGGCTCCTCCTCGGGATTGCAGTCAACTTTTAGAACGGCGAAGTGATCTCCCAGCTCCGATTTCGTAAGCCATGCCCACAACTCGTCCATCGACTTGAACGGATCAGCGTCGGCGTACTTGGAATCTGCTAACCATTTCGACATGAATTCATCCTCCTCTCGCCGATTCACTGTCTGGTGAATATCCGCCAGGGATGTCTTCGGTCCGGGTCGGTCCGACGCAGCCGACCTAAAGGAGTCTGCGAAAAGGCGCTGCTCTTCATCGGTGAAGTCACCTCTAGCAGACACCACCCGCCCTCTACTTTGACCCTCATGACTATCCGAAGCCCTCTCAGACTCTTCCATTCCAATGTTTTCATATGCTGGGAGCGCAAGGAGGGCCAGCCGTTCGAGGTGATATGCGACGTGTTTCTGTAACGCGCTTGCCTCAGAAAATGCCGCTGGACAGAATGGACTGTCTCGATGAACATTCTCTGATGGGCCAACAGCGGCGGAAATGAGCTCAGAAGAAAAGAAATCCTCCTTCTGCTCTGGGTGTTTTTCACGGAGATGCGTGGTGTATCCTTGCTGTGTCTCAAACTCCTCGCCATGAATAGAGCAGCGCCAAACTCTTGTGTGGATGCTTTCATGCTCCAACCACTCCTGGCGAGACTCGTAAATCCGATTCGCGTCCTTGCAACGCTCGAAGGTGCAATGGTACGGTTGCAAATCATGGATCAAGTGCAGACTGGCCCTACTGTCAGCGAAGGGCATTTGAACAGGGCATAGTAACACCAGACTGACCGCCAGGCCTCCTTAGCGAGGTACTTGCGAGGGCAGATGATCCTGCAGTACGGACAGGTGAAGAAGCTGCTGCCAGTGTTGGCGATCTGATCGGGCGGGGTCGGCCACTGCAGACTCTCTCCGCGGAGATTCATCACTGTCGAGATGCGGCTCTGTTGCGATATGACAGACTTCAGATCGTCCAGTTTGACACATTCCTCGTCTAATCTTGTTGCAGATGTTGCAAGCGACCTAATCATGATACCTCCCACGTCTAGCTGAGTCCCCATGTGTCCTCCCTGATCAACCAGCTGAAGGCGCTCTTTGTCACCGGCTGCAACATCTTGATCATTTCTTTGATTAGATGAAGAGGGCGGATCCCTGCTACCCGAGCCCCGGCTAATTCTGTCTGCATGCTCTTTCCAGTACACAAACTGCTGTTTTCTCCTGGCATTGGCAATGCCGGCTCGGCGAATCAACCAGTTCGAAGGAGAGGCATGGCGTCGCAGAACATCGTCTGTTTCGAAACCAGGAGCGCACAGTTCCCCATCATCAAGGCCCATTAAAAGTTCATGTCGTTGTACATGACATACGATGGCGATAGCAGCTTCTTCACGATCGTGAATGACCTCTTCACGGAGGTTTGCCGGAACATGCTTATACAGCTCGTCAAGAGTACGCTGTGGACGATTCCTTGGGTTCTTGATTTTGGTAGCCAAACTGTAAAGGGCATCCAAAGTTTCTGCGATGCTTTTCATACGGAAATCCACCTCATGGAATGACGAATCATCGCTAGAAAGATGGGGCGACGCTGGCGCCATATCCATCGATCGCGCGTCGCTTTCGCAGTCGGACCCTCCATCCTCGGCATCTGGGTTTACAGAGGTGGTAGTCTCAAATGGCTGCCGATCTCCGTTTTGCACTGAGACAACATTGTCCAGTTGTTCTTTCAGCTCGGTAAGAATATCGGCCAGACGTGACTGTACTGCCACCGCGTCTCTCACTCGGTAGTCCAGAGATGAGTGTCCAAGATTGTGCAAGCCGAGGCTATGGGCCCAGAGCCTGAATCGTTGTTCTTCCGAGATCAATATCATCCCGACGGAATGGCTGGCAATATTCTGGACACCGCTCAGCTGCGAAAACGCCGCGAAAATGTCCTTGCCGAGGTCGTGGAGCTCGGTCGTCTCCATACCTAGGTATTATCGCCGCGGTATGAACCATGTATGATCATAGAACTTAACAACTCGTCAATATCGACGGACTCTTTGAGTTGTAGAAGATTGACAGATCGAGATAAGAGCGTGCGGGGCACTCCTAAAGCCGCCAGCCACGGTCATATTGTGTTACAAATCATCACACCTGAACATGTGGATCTAACCAGAGCGGGCGGGCTGCAGGAATGATGACCTCCCGGCTGTCGCTCGTCTCCCCACGGGTTTGTTCGTTCGTGCGAGACACGATACATAGAGAGCTGGCAGCAAGCAAGAGAGCCCCGTACCAGTGCAGATGGCTGCGCTCGAGATTTGCGGCGTTGTCCTCGGCGTCATACCACTCGTCATATCCGCGCTCGAACATTACAAAGCCGGAAAGGGTGCCGCCGCTGCGTTCGTCAAGTGGCGCGGACAGCTTGACACTCTCATATTCCGGCTTAAGCTGCAGAGAACATTCTTCTACCTTCACACGCTCGAACTCCTCCGCGAGGCACAAGTTGCGCAACTGAGAGATCGAGTCGATTTGACGGAGGAAGAATGCGTGGCCGTCCTTCGCGATAAGGAGACCGGTGAGGCGATCCGGGAGTACCTTGGGCCCTTGCACGATACTTTTGAAGAAGTCTTAGGCCGTTATGAGCTCTCTCTCAAGACCATTGTCGCCAAGATAGGCCACATCAAGCGATTGCCCAATGTGAGTCGAGTTCTCAAACCATTCCGGATCGTGCACTCACTTCTGTTCATTGGCAGGCACAAAAAGATGATCTTTCCGCTTTACTTGCTGCGAACACACCTTGCAACGAAAGATTCTCATTTAGAGAGAGACTGAGCTTCACCATTGAAAGAGGCAGTCTAAAAAGTGTCCTCGAAGAGCTACGCGAGGATCGACTTTCTCTGGAAACCATTCTGAAAGGGCTCAAGACTCAGCGACAGTACCTTGCAAAGGAGCCAGGACAATATGCGCAAAAGCTGGCAACAAACTTTCGAAAAGTCCAACAGACGGCAACGACGCTGTTTACTGCTATGTGCAAGTGTTGTTCGTGCCTTTGTGAGCCTAGGCACAGCTTGTTGCTGCGCCTCGACAACCGTGTGCCCACACAGCGTGCCAGGGCAAAGGTGGGGCAAAAAGCAGATGATCCGATGAGATTCGCCCTCTTTATAAGTCTCGACAAGATTCTTCAGGAAGTTTCTGTTAGCGCGTACGAATTTGGCCCGTCTCTACAACGCCCAGCGACAGCGCAGTGAGTGGTACCCAGCTGTCCGAAGCGGACCACTAGACAATAGCACATCCTTTTTCACTGACTCTTACACTGTGAAGGCTTATTGGTCAGCAAAAACAAAGAAGGACCGTTGAATTCTCAATTCCAACATTATCCATCATACCGGAGCAAGGCCCCCCTCGTTCCCAGGACTGGGAGCCCATATCCGACATCTGTGGCTCCGCCATGACCGCCTTTCAAAAGCATCACCTTCTGAAGCTGGATTTGATTGCCCATGACCTGTCTCCAACCACCGGTATGATGGGAGCTCGGTGTGAAGTAGCAGCTTCAACCACTCTAGAACAGTTTCTTCGACGCGGCTGCTTGGATGAAGAAGCTCGCATGACGCCGAAACAGCAAACGATGCTTGCCCTCGATATCGCAGCTTCGTTGATGCAGCTACGACAAACGAGCTGGTCTCCGCTCCCCTGGACGAACAGACGCATCCAATTCCTTATTTCAAAACAGGGTGAAGTCTGCGGTTCCTTTGTCGAAGAGCTGATTGGAAATCGGACCGGCAACACGCCCTTGGACCCAAGACCCCAGGGCTCTGACCCGAAAGAGGCTTTGCTCGAGCTAGCCATTTTACTTCTAGAGATATGGCATCACAGACCGCTCGATATGTGGGCGGTGAAGCTGGGCATGGAGTCCATCGACACGCCCGAGGCAAGGAGAATCGCGGCCATCCGATGGCTGGAGCTGACGTCGGACAGGTTGCCGCCGCACCATCTAACCGCGATCGAGCAGTGTTTGGCATTCTGCTCCGGCAGGCTCCGGGTCTGGGACGACGGTGAGTTCCAGAAGCTGTATTGCGAGAATGTAGTGAAGCCATTGCAGGAAAGCTGCAAGGCATGGCAAGCTTAAGTCTGTCATTGTGGTTGAAGGAATCTTGTAGCTTTAATGTGGCCTCCGACTAAGCCATGATTGATTCCGGCACACGTATAGCGTTGATTGTGAAGGCAGCGCTCAGAGAAGTGATCCCGTGGTAGGGAAAGTTCAGCATGGTTAACTTCTTCACGCAATTTATTTCTGTCTAGGGTTAATTACTCACCACAACATTGAAAATCTCATGATATATGATTCAGACCCTATCCTCCACAAGACCTTGTTCAAGACAAAGAAAATTCATGTCCGAGCCCATCCAAACCCAGTGCTCACCAACTATCTCAACATTTCCTCTCGGGCCCACTGCTCATCGCTATGCCCCTTTACTGTCTTCAGGTACTTGTTAAAGTCTGACGCAGTCTTGATGGCCTGGCTCAGGTGTTTCCAGTCCAACCTCTCTCCTTCATGCTTGGCAAGCTGCCGAGCGGTGAGCAAGGCATTCCGGATCTGCCTGCCATTCATCTCATGCGCGGCCAGCTCGTCAAGCCTCCTTTCCAACTCGGAAATGTTCGCATCTTCATCCGGGGACTCGTCGATCATGTCAAGAAAGTTGCTCCAAATTGCCCTACGTGATTTCTTGGTCAGATTGTTGTAGTGGATTGCAACCTGAATTCGGGACTTGAAGGCTTCGTCGAAAGTGCCGACGCGATTCGACGTCAGGATGAGTATGCCGTCGTAGTATTCAAGCGTGCGCAGGAATACTGGAAAAAGCCAGGAGTGTTAGCTTCGTAGCCTCGAAAAGGTCGTTGGGGCTTCTCACTTGACACCAGGCTGTTTCTTTGCAGGTCAGCCATTGTACGTTCCTCGAGGAACACATCTGCCTCATCCAGGAGCAGTACTATGATTGTGTCAATATTCTTTTCCGAAATAATATGCAAGAAGATCAATATTTACCACAATCCCAAATTTTTCCCAAATAGAGCACAGTCTCCAAGTACTTCTCGACATCCTTGGGATCAGTGCCTATGTCACCACATGTGACACGGTACAGAGACTTTTCTGCAATTTCTGCGACGCTGGGTTTACACATGAGTTAGAAAGCTTCTGATACAACTTGAAAGCAAGAGCGCAGTCACCAACCTCTCCGCTGTCAAAGTCTTGCCTGTTCCTGGACTGCCATGCAGGAGGATGATCAAGCCGTTACCCTTGCCAGCAATTATATCATCCATTCTGCCAGCTGTCTTCTGTACATTGACCAGCGCAAGGATCATCTTCTTCAAAGAGTCCTCAAGCACCAGACGAGTAAAAGCTTCTGGGTTCCACGTGATACTGTGGAAGTTATCCACGAGCAGGTCGCCTGATACCAGTCAGTACATACATCACATCACGGGCACAAATGATTTCCCATGCACCGACAGTGAATGGCGATAGGAACTGCTCACTCCATTTCTTTGCCTGCAGCCTGAACCCAGAAATCGTTCTTGGCAGCAGCATGAACGCCTTGGCTGAGAGATTCTCGGTTTTCTTAATTGAACTTGGCCAGGGGTCCACCTTCGTCAACTGCATGTGAGGATGACGTGCTGCCAAGACCAATTTATTGTAAGTGCTCGGATGCATCAAATTGTAGGTTGTCACGTCAACCATGAATCGGTCTCCTGTCTATATGAAATTCAAAGACATTTCTAAGCTTGCCAGCCCGAACAGAAGAAAGGGGTGAGGGTGGGGGCACGGAGTTGTACGAACGTAGTGGTGCTGTCGGGCGTTGTCCCAACCGGTGTAGCAACTATATGTTTGGTTCTTCATGGTCCAAAACTTCCTGCCTCTTTTCTCAAGAGCTGTGGTAATCTCAGATTGTGCGAACTCCACTGGGTAGGCTCGTAAATCTGTGATTCTCATTTGCTCTTCCGGCACATTGTCAATCTTTTCTTGCCAAGGATGCCTGATGAGTTCGTTACCATTGTAAGCCCAAGACCAGCCCAGCAATTGGATTCGGCCTCTCAAATTGGTGGGTTTGACACAAAGTGACAAAATATGTGCCTCGAAGTCGCCCTCTTCGCATCGACTGATGACCATTTGGTTGGGTTTGAAGAGTTTCGAGATAGTCTGAGCCGTTACGAGACCTCTCTCAAATAGCCAATTAGCCTCTTGGTACTCTTCCCTATAATTTTGGTCGAGGAACTCTAGAAGAGGCTTCAGCACATCCTTGAAGGTCTGATCCGATGACAATTGTATCAGTTTCTGGTAGTGATGGAACAGAAAGTGGTATGGCGCGACCAATCCATGAGATTGAAGATAATGCGATTCCTGTCCCACAGGAGCTGGATGATACTCTGCGACTTCAAGAAGAGCTCTCCGCAGCAGAGGGGCCACTATTCGAAGTTGGTCGGTCGGGCTCTGACGTGCATCGTCTGGCGTCTTGGATTGATAGGTGCAAACATGGTCTTTGATGACGAGAAAACAAATGTTTGGGTGCAAATCGAGATACTTCTCCACACTGCGAACAACCTTGTTACCTGTTAATTTCCCCTCATCCATTCTGTGTTGAATTGTGTAGGCCGGTAGATCCTCATAGTACGAGTCGTCATGGTGATGCGCTTGTCGACTGCAATTGATTCGGTGCAGCACTTTGCCAAAGGGATGATCTTGGTTCTCAGCGGAGGGGTGTTCGTCAAAACCGGTGTCTTTATCCTGAAGGAAAACAACCTTGTCTGTAAGGAGTTCTATGGTGTCTAGCAGATACCCTATGAACCGGGAATCATCTCGACTGTCGTCCAGAGCATCTATGTGAAGGAACTTTTCTGAGATCACGTTCAGCGATTCCGAGATAGTTGGTTGGAGCTCGTCCACCGCTTGCTCGTGTTGAGACATGTTTCGTCTTTTGTCCAGGCCTTCGGAACTGAGAAACTTCTGCGTGATCGCATTCAGGAGTTGTGAAATAGACCTTTCAGACCCATTTGAGGGGCTATGGTCTTGGTTCCTAGTCCCACGTGCAGGAAACGATTTGGAACGCTGTGTCACCCTTTCAGTACACATTGCGACGGTGTATGGGACGGCCAAACTATTGGGAGCCGGCATTCGAGGACTGACGCCTATTTCGTTTGGGACCTCTTCGAATACAATTTGTTAGAAAGCGAATTCGTTCATTCATGCAATCCAGTTCCATTGGAACGCACGGAAACATACCTGCTTTGAGCGGGCTTTGACTTTCGCTTGAAGCTGGGCCTATAATCCCCTCCCCACACTTCTCGCACTGTTGGGCGACTTTGCCCAGATTCTCATATGTCTCACGGTGAGATTCTCTCTTTTGTGCCAGGCTATCCCACGTGGCTATTACTCTCCGGTTGGCCCTTTCCGCTGAAACGGCTTGACGCCACCGAGTTTGTTCGTGATCTTGGGTCTCTGACCGCCGACTTGATTGCTGTTTGTCAGATATATCGGAGTCAGAAGATAAAGAGCGACGAGATAGATAAGTCAAGTCGTCTTTAACAATAGGAATATTAACATCCCTAGCCTATATTCTAACAATCCCCTAAATCCAACTACCCTAAACTTATATTTATATATATATATATCTATCCCTACTTTATTTATACCTTTTTATAACTTTATAAGGAATTTTTTTTAATTATTAAACCTTTTTTAAATATTATTTTAATTATTATAAAAAAGTATAGGAAAGAAGAAATTTATAATATACTTATAGTAGTTAGGAATAAAATACTTATATAAAAACTTTTAAAATTTAATATATTTTATATATTATACTTTATAATTATTTTTAATATATAAAGTAAATTTACTATTTATAAATTTTATTATTTTTTAATATTTAAAAGGATTAATTAATATTATTTTTAATTAATTAAAAGAGTTTAAAGTATATTTTAATTTATTAAAAATATAAACTTTAGTAAATTAAATAGTTTTTTTAATATCTTTTTTAAAGAGAAAGTAGTTAAAAACTTTTTAATTTATTATTTTATTTTTAAAAGTTATAAATATTAATAAATTAAAATAAAATAATTAAAAATAATAATAAAAAATATATTTATATAGTTTAATTTAATATAATTATTTATTATAAAGGTTATTATAGGAATAGTAAGTTATAGTAGATTAGTTATTATAAGATAAGTAAGATTAGTAGGTTTATACCTATATATAGATTACTTAGCTTAGTTAGTAAGGTCTAGCTAATCTAATTAAACGCTTTACTACTTAATTAAATAGACTTTTAACTAATATTAATATACACTACTTTAACTACTTTTTATATATAAGTTAAGCTAATTAATACTAATTAGTTATTTATTAGCTTTAAATAGTTAAGTATAGATAGTTACTTACTTTTTATAATTATTATAGAATTAATAGCGTTAATCTTAGTCTATTATTTAAAGTTATAATAATTATAGATAAAGTTAACTATATTAACGTTTATAAAGATAATTAGTATTAATTCTAATTTATTAATTAAATTATAAGTAATTATAATAATAATAATAGTACTAGTTAGTATTAATTTTAATTTATTAATTTAAAGTTATTAAAAGTATTATATATATTTCTTATATTTTAAAAAGAAGTTAGTAATTTTTAGAGATTTAAGATTTAGTTTCTTTTTTTATTAATAACCCTTTCTTTAGCTATAAGTAATACTTTAAGTTAGGTATAATAATCTTTAAAGATTTAAGATTTATAACTTTCTTTTAAAAATAATAATAATAAGTAAGACACCTTTACTAATTTAATTTTATAAACTTATTATAATAACTCTCTTATAATTAATAACTTAAGCCTACCTATAGGGCCCTTAATTAACTACCTATTAGTTAACTTAATTAATAGTCTATTTATTAACTCGCTAGGTGCCCTTAATAATTAACTACCCCTTTAAGAGACCTTTAAGTATAAGTAATAATCTTATAAGTTAAGTGATTAACTGTATAGATAAGGTAATAGTGTGTTTACTATATAAGAACTATACTTAATATGTTTAATTAATTAACTTAATTAAAATAATTAATTAAATAGATTATAATTAAGTTCTTTACTTAAATAATTATATAAATAGTAATTTATACTTAAAATAAACCCTACTTTTTAATAAGTATTAGTTAATTATTAATTAAATAATTTAATTAATTATATAAAGTAAGAGATAAATAAAAGAAGAAGAAACTATTAGAAGGATTAACTAGACTAATTAATGGTTATAAATTAACTAATAATTAGTTATAACTAATAAATAACTAATAGATAATCTAATAAGTAATTAGTAATTAAGTAATTAGGTAATTAGATAATTAAGTGATTTAAAAACGTTAATTTAAAGTGTTTTATTAATTATAAAAAAAGAAGAAACTATTAAAAAGGTTAATTAATTAAATGTGGGTAGTTAGTGCTATTTAGTAATAACTTAGTAAGTAATTAATAATTTAAATTTAATTTTATTTATTAAAGTAATTTAAATTTAAGTGATTTAGGTGATTTGTAAAATATTAATTTAAAGTGTTTTTAGGTGTTTAAATTAAGTGAATTATAATTATATGTTTAATGGTAATTTTAAGTGATTTAGTAATTTAGTTAGAACCTACTTTATTAGTAAATAGAGCTTTTTAATTAGCTGGAAAGAAGGAAGATTTTAGAAGATTAAAAAGGTACTAATATAGGAATAGTAAGCTATAGTGGATTAGCAACTATAAGGCAAGCAAAATTAATAGGTCTATGCCTACATATAGACCACCTAACTTAGTCAGTAAGATCTAATTAACTTAACTAGGTGCTTCGCCACCCAGCCAAGCAGACTTCTAACTAACACCAATATACACTACTTTAACTACTTCTTATATATAAACTAAGCTAACTAATAGTTATTAAATTAAAAAATTATTAAAATATTAATAAAAAAGGATTAATAAAAAGAAAGTTTAAAATAGTATTTATAATTAATTATTTAAAAAATAATAAATTACTTTAAAAAAACTTTAATTTATATATATAAACTTTTTTATAAAGTATATATTTATTATAAATAAATTTTTAAATTTTTTTATTATTTTTAAAAAATTAAATATATAATAATAATAATTTTTTATAATTTTTAAAGATTATATAAATTAATAGTTTATAATAATAAAAATTAAATAAAAAAGTTTATTATAATTAAATAATTAAAAAATCTTTCTTTTAAATTATATTAAAAATTTATTTAAATAATACTTTTTATAATTAATAAATATTATATATATATTATAATTAACTTTATATAAAAATATTTTTAAATAATATTTATATTATTTTTATTAATTATTAATTTATATATATTTTAATTACTTAATATATTAATTTTTAATTTATTTAAAACTATTTTTAAAAATATTTATACTATTAAAGTAACTATAATTCCTTATTAATAATTATAAAAAAGTTTTTATTATTATTATAAAATATATATTAAAATTCTTATAAAATTAAATATTTAATTTAAATAATAAATAATTAATTTATAATTACTTTTAAATATAAAATTTTTAATATATATTTTATTAAAAATTAATAAATTATTAAAATAAAGAAAATAAAAGATTATTATTAAATAAAATAATATATATTTTATATTAAATAATATTTTATTAACTTTAAAGGATTATTTTAAAATTTTTAAATAATTATAAAAATTATATAATATAATAATTAAATATACTTATAATAAATATTTAAACTTTATATAATAACTTTTTTATAAAATTTTAAAAGTTAAAATTAAAATATTAATTTAATAATATTTATAAAAAATTTAAAATTAAAATATTAATTAAAAATTAATAAAATAAATTAAAAAAAAAATTGATTTAACTTAAATAAATTATTTATAAATATTAAAATAGTTTAATAAATTTAAATTAAAGTTAAATAAATATTTAAAAAAAGTAATAAAAATAATTAATTAAAGATTTTAATTATTAAAAAGAATAAAATTATAATAGTAATATAAATAAATTTAAGGTAAAGGGGTAGTTAAAGGAGGAGATAGTTGGATTTAGGGGATTGTTAGAATGTGGGCCGGGGATGTTATCCTGTCTTTCTGGTAGAATTTGAGGCTGTGTACGAGCTACTTCCGAGGCCAAGAGCTTTTCTAGACTCGACTATCAGCACAGAGGTTTCCACTCGCAAAAGATGAATGCTCACCTCTTGTAGGTTCCTTGGTAAGACTTGAAAGTATCCTTCTCTTCTTGGTGAGGTCTTCCACGGTGTCATCGGTAGATATCATAGAATCCATGTACAAATTATTGTTACTTTGTCCACCTGCCTGAGATTCTGATCCCCTTTTGTAATTGGCTGGCAAATCTGAATCGAACATCTTGCTGGAGAATCCATATGGACTTTCCACCGGAGATGTGTCATCTTCAGACATTCTGTCACTACTGATTTTACTTACTGGCGTATGGCTCTGATGCTGGATGAGAGAAGCAGCGAGAGCACAAAAACCCCGCCTTTCCAACGGCTCTTCTCCGCGCAACGGAGCCCCTGGATTGTGGCTGAGTGATGGAGTACGGAGTACAGTCATCAACAGGGGAGAAAGCATGTGGTTACACAGCATATGCAGTGCGACGCCCTGTGTGGCAGGGTCCAGGAGGGTGGGGGTGCAGAACTAGCATTTCACATCCCTGCCATTTTGGTAGCTCAATGCTTGGATCAAAGTCTTCACAATTACGCACGCACATTTCACATAATTTTGACTATGGGCTAAAACATCGAAGAGGTAATAAAGAAGACTGTGTTCGCGTTTTAGTTGTATTATTTTAGCTTGGACAGCATATCCTCTGTGCTTTCTAGTTGCCTTTGGCTATTTACCTCTTCTCCTTCCTTATACAACCTCATCGACAGGGAATCGGAATTGCTTTGTAGTCTCCTTGACCTTTCGTTTGAAAATCGCCCGATACTTAGGCTGCCGCATCAGTCGTTGTACTCGGAGACCCATATCGGTGGTAAAATGCGACTCATTAAAAGCTTCGCCGGCCTCAAGCGATGTAGTTGCTTCAAACCTCCAAGATATGACGACAACTTTCAGCCCACCATTACTTCGACGAGTAACGATATCTGAAATAGCCTCAATGAACTCGCTAAGCGTCAAGCCCTCCTCATCTCTTGCTTCCACCATGCTCGTATCAATGACTATAAACAGGCGCGGAAAGACAGCGATGCAATCTTCGAGTATTTGAAACCATTTTTTGGAGTCAGATTTTGCCTTGAAATGTTTTAGAGGGATCGCGTTATTCCCGGTCTGGGCTTGCCCAGATTCTAAGTCGAGCAGCTGTGATATCAGGGACCTCAGTATACCGGTGACGGATGGAGTAGGCCGACCACTATCACTATCACCGGGAAGTGCCCAGATGACTGGATAATTCCCGTCGATCACGGCGTCCATGAAGTCGATGGCAAAGTCAAGCGAGCTCGTCCGAATCCCTTTTCCTTGGGCAAGGACCATGGAGGAAGAGGGTTGCGCCACCCACGCTTGCACCTTCGACAGCGTGGCAGCAGGCAGCTGTGTCGGCAAGGTCTGTCTCCGACGTCTTCGCATTGATCTGCAGAATTCCAGACTCTCAGATGGATCTGGTGTATCATCTAGTAATAAAATAGTGTTCCGGATTTCCTCGACTTGGCCTCTCCGAAACATCAACTGCTGTTCCGCTCGGAGACTGAGTAGTGTCTGGTTGTGCAGCGTCTGCTGCTGCTGCTGATCTGTTTCGTGTTATCAGTCTTGTTGCAACAAGGTACCCCGTGCACAGAACTTGGCCTGGACTTACACGCCATCATATCGGTGAGGTGTGTGATGGACCTATGCATCTGGTGGACTGTGAAATGTAGGTCTCGTATCTCCGCCTTGACGGCCGCGTTTGCCAATTCGTCCACACCTCTCGAGAGCCTCGTGATGTCGTTGATAATAGGCTTGAACTTGAGCTCGAAAGGATGTGTGATGGATGCGATGGCATGCCTAGCCTTGCCTTTCTTGCACCACTTTATAGCTTTGACCACGAATTCCATGATCTTGGAATAGAGCAGGGACACGGCCTCCTGCATCCGAGCCGTTGGGTAGAGGATTGAGTGTAGCTCAGTCCGCGGCAGGACGTCCGCGAGGCTAGAAATTGCTTTGCATATCTCTTTGAGAAGCTCCTCGTGATTCAAGACCGACATAAACAAAAACTTCATAGCGCCCCAAGCCAGGGCGACATATTCCGGGTGATGTTGAGCGAGGGTGTCCAAGATAGCTGTACAGTTCGAGTCAGCCGAACTTCTCGGCCTTTATGAGTAGCCCTGGGGAGTCTCCCCCCCCCCTCGCCCTTTATTTCTTTTCTTTTCGCCGCTAAATTTGTCACCTACATCCGTAGTACACTACTCTCTCAGAACAGCTCAGAAGCCATTCTTGGGCTTTGTTGCCGTTCGACCTGGCTTTATACTCCTCCAGCGCCTGCACCACCGCCTCTCGGACGTCCTGCATCGAGCTTTGCTGCCGCAGCCATGGTGTCTGGTATTCTTCGGCGGTCAGGGTTGACTTCAAGATATCGAGGGCGCTTTCGTATGCGGACCGAGCGGGATCGGATAATCTAATAACATAGGCGAGGTCAGCAGGTTCCCGGAAGATTCCCAAGCGAGAAGGAAATGTTGACCGACCGTTGTTGCGGGTCTCCACTGTACCACCCAGCATACAGCTCGTTGCTACTCAAGCCGCCGAGTTGAGGAATCGCCGCGATTGGTGCTGGAGCTGGGACAGGGGCTAGCGTCGCGAGGCCATGATCTCCTCGGGTCGTCACGGCCATCGCGGCGGTAGACCATATCTGCCACGAGAGTGCCCTCGTCACACGAGGAAAGAGGTCTGGGTGCGAGATTGCTGTAAAAGGTGCTGCCTGCTATTGATCAGGCCCGCGAGCTGCCCGCTGTCAGGCAGACTGGCTCGGTCTGACATACCACCGCTGCATGCGACCCAAGTCGGCTAGTACATCATGCAGTCACACATGAGAGGGACGACGTTGGGGCCCTTGCAAGACGAGCGATACACAGCCACAATGGCCCCTGCCCAGGTGCCTGATGGTCTCAAATGTCACCACGCGTCGCCTGTATGCAAAAAGGGAATAAAGACGCAGTCCAAGACGGCCTCGGGCATACACCTGAAAAGCTGGCATGATATAAGGACTATATGCCTATGGCCAGTGTGGCGTCACTTTTCCACGAATAGTGTAGTGGTATTATTCGTGACAAAATCCAAATGCAATATGACAACACCACTTAATGCAGTACCATCCAAGGAGACAACCCCCAAGTATGACCCCGATTCACGCCTCAGAACCCCCTCAGGAACTCCTCCAGGGTAATAGGCTTCCTCACAGCATTATTCAAACCCTCATGATACGTAACCCAGACCTTATTCTCCCCCTTGTCAGCCGCCTGCTGCGCCCCCCTCTTCTGCTGCCCGCCGTTCCCATCAACCTCAGCCAGCGGCTTCTCCACGACCACGCGCCCGAAGAAGTCCCTCTTGACAACGGCGGGCATGATCGGGAGGGCCTTGCGCCCACCAGCTGCAGCATTCTCCTTGTCGTCGTGGGGCGGCAGCAGCGCGTGGTCGTGATCGTGGTGCTGGCCCTCCGCCATGCCGGCCCGCCAGCGCGCCTGGCGCGCGGCGTTCTCGCGCTGCGCGATCGTCTTTTGTAGCTCCTGGTCCAGGACCTGGCGGACCGCGTAGCGGACCGGGATCTGTGCGGCCAGGACGTGGGCGCCTGCCGTCTCGAAGGTGGAGAGCATGTCGAGGTCACTGTTGCGGTGATATCAGCATCGTGTGTTGCGGGTAGGTAAGGCAAGGGGGTGCGGGCGAGCTTCGACTTACGGGTCCATGCGGTACACCCACTGTGTCCGGCCCGCCATCGAGGGGTTGGAGTCCTCTATCTTGCCCTTCACCAGGGCGATGCCCACTTCGGCCAGGACCTCGGCTCCTCTCTTGACCATGTTCTTCTCGGACTCGCGTCGCACGCTTGCGACTGTGCCCTTGTCGCCACTGCCGCCCACGACTACGGGCTTGACGTCCGGAGAGACCAGTCGGACTAGGTATGGCAGGAAGTCTGTCGCGATATCCTCGGGGCTCCGGAAAGCCCGCATCAAGGTGGGCGGTAGTTGGCCCTGGAGTCCTTGCAGCAGCGCGCGGTTCTGCTTTATGGTCTCGTGCGCAGTGTAGTCGGCACGAGGCCCGGTGAAGGGCAGCGGCGCTTCCTCGGCCCCAAGATCGCCTTCTGCAGCCCGCCACTGTTTGTCGTATCCTGTGTTGGCGTGTGGTCGGTGCGGGCTGGCGAAGAGGTGATGACATGCCAGGACCGGCTGGCTGAGGTAGGGCGCGAGTTCCCAGTCCTGACTGGAGTAGAGCCGTGACGAACAGTCATCATGGAAGCTGAGCCACTCGTAGGCCTCGGTCGGCTTCGAGAGATAGGAGTCGTCGTTGAACTCCCGGTTGGGATACTCGGAGAAGACGTCGGTCAGGATACGATCCACCTCGCCGCTCGTGTCCACCATTTCTCGCAGCCGTTCGATGGCATGCTTCTTCAAGTGCTCGGTGAAGCCCAGTTGGGCCTGTGGTTGTTCGTGCCGTGTCTTCTTGCTCGTGCTCACATCGGCCTGGCGGGGGAACCCGGCGCCCTCTTGGAATACACGACTGACAATCTCCTTGACGCCTCCCCGGCCGAGTCCACGGGCGCCGCCGCCGCCGTGCTGCAATTCTTGGACGATGTTCTTATCGACCCACTGGCGCGTGAGTTGCAGCGGGCCTTTCGACTGCTGGGCCTTGAGCCTGCCGGCAACCCATTCTCCTACGACCATCACCCCTCTCAGGTCGCCTTCTGCGGCACTCTCGGCGCCTTTCTTGGCATCCAGTGCATTTGACATACCCCAGGCCGATTCGCAAAGCTTCCGTGCAGCATCCTTCTCGCAAGGTATCCCTTCTTTCTCGAAGACTGCCTTCAGTCGGCCGACTACGGCGTCCACGGATGGCTTTCCTATGCGGATGATTTCTGCTAGGCCTGACTGTCGCAGAGGCCTCAGCGACGGGTGATACACATCGTTGCAGATGAGAATCAGAGGTCTCATTTGACGGAAGTCATCGCCCTTCTTTTTCTTCCGCGCCGCTGCTGCGCCTGCGGCTCCGGAGCTGTTCTTCTGGTCGGTCATGACCAGGTCGATCAAAGCTCTCACGAAACCACCCTCTCCCGAGGCCCCGGAGCCGGCTGTGACACCGTCCACTTCGTCCACCACGACACAAGCTGGGCGGGCAACCTTGATCTTGGCGCCAGGTTTTGGCTTCGCGTGCTCGACCGTCTTGACGCTTTCCGTGCCCAGACTTGTCCTGATCCGCCCCTTGACGACGTCTTTACTCCGGTCATCGCTTGCATTGATCTCGATGACCTCGTACCCAGCTTGCCGCGCGCATACATGTGCGAGTGTCGTCTTTCCTAATCCAGGCGGTCCGGTCAGCATGAGGATTTTCCTGTGTTGTCTCTCTTCCTCCTCTTGTTGCTGCGCGCCCTGTTTCCTCGCTGAAGCATGCTTCGGTCGAGCTGAGTTCGGGAAGACGATGGTGTCCCAGCGCTTCAGCCAGCGCAAGACCTGCCTGTTGGTGAGGTCGTCGCCCACCAGGTCGATGAAGTTACGCGCGCGGTACTTCTCCGTCCACAGCATGGTCTTCCTCGGCCGTCTGAGGTTCGAGGATGCGTCTTCCACTGACTCGACGACCGGTTTCGTATGACTTGGTGGCGACTTCGTCTTCGAGGCTTCTATTTCCTTGGTCGCGTCCCCCATGAGTTTGTGGATGTCGATGCCAAAGTATGCGCGCTTTGCCCGACCTTCTTTCGTCCTCGACCGCTCGGCGACCATATCCTTGTAATCGACCCTGGTCGTAGTCGTGCGCTTCAGGACACCATCGGACTTGCCCGAGCAAGTGACAAATGCATATCCATCCCTCCCAATCCGCATGGGAGCGCGGGTGTCCGCCTCTGCCTCCTTTCGACTGAACAGCCGGGCGTAGCGAGCTTCTTCCTCTTCATCCACGGCGATTGCGTCCCGCGGCTGAGCCTCTGGTGTCTGTGTGGGCACATTTTCGACTTCTGCTGGACTGATTTCCGAAGGAGTGGGGAGATTTTGCGTTTCCGTGTTGTCTGCGATTAGGTCTGAAGGCACCCTTGGATCGTTAAGCATTATTCGTTTTGGGCTTGGCTGCTGAGGGAGGTCGTCCTCCTCGTCTGAGTCCTCCATGATGAAGCCTCCTCTTGCCTTGGGCTTTGTCGGTTTCTGGTAGTCATCTCGAAAAGGTCGCTTCGGAGGAATCGCGGGTGACGAGCTCGGCGGATACGTGATTGGAGATGAAGGAGCGGCCATGATTTCGGATGCAGTAACCTGCTTGTGCGTGCTAGAATGGCAGAATTGGCGTGTGGTCTTTACGGGCGCCAATTGTGTGCGTGGGTGGCCCCAGATGGTGGCTTTGATGGAAGGTCAGAGTGGTGTGGACAGACGCGTCGGAGACGCACTTACAAGCAGGACGCGTTCCAAAATGTTGGAGACGCGACCCACTTTCCTGGCCGCCCACACATGCTAGCAACCTCGACGTCACGATATCCTAACCCTAACCTTAACACTAACCCTATAGACGACAATCATTCGCCTCCAACGTCGTCTAACTCGGCCGAGACACGCTCATCATCCGGCACCGCCATTGTATGCAACGTCAAAGGGATTATTCAACATCAGCTGGGCAAGATGCATGTGATAGTTGATCAACGAAATGCTGATCATACGTGATCCTTTACAACAACTGCCTCCTACCACCTGGGGCTGCTGCCTGTGGGGCGAAACCCCGGCCAGAGGTCAGCTCTCCACCTGCGAAACCTGCGAGCATCATCACCACAAGATGTCGTGAGATTGAGTTCCACGATGTGGAGCAAAACACATGGCAATATCCAGATGGGGAGATTCCCTCTTTCTGTGGCGCAGTCGGATCGACCGCCCGCCCTACGAGCCACGAAAAGCACCCTCGTCGCTCCAGGCTTCAGTCACGCCAAGAAGCTGACGCCACGACCTGGGGCTCCGGAATCTCACCTCATGCAAAGGATTCGCTGCAGCCACTCTGGATATAGAGCGCAGCAGTACACAGTCCGATGGAAAACCACGAGTCCGAGCGCACGGCTGCTCCCTCACGATACCTGCGCCTTGCCCTGAATTATTTCATAAAAGCCAGTCATCACTCGATGTTCACTTATGTCAATGGCATCTCAAGTGACCTCCATTTGCAGATATCAAAAACATCAGAAGCTTGTCCGTTTTGCGAGGAACAAACTCTCTTTTTCAATAACAACATCTCTGGACTCCATTTTTGAGAAAATTTAATTGAGCAACCATGGCAGCCAAGCTTTCTTTGTTGTCGCTTTGCGCCATCTTGGCCACGGCACCTATTGGCTCCTGTCAAGTTTCAGAAGAGATCATGTCCGAGACCGACAGTGTTGGATATTTTGAGATCCTCAGCGAACCAATCGACGCCAAAGACGACGCAAATGCCACGGGCATCATAAACCTCGATGGGTACAATTTGACCATCGCGGTGGTAGCCGACCTCCCCATTCCGAACTCCACAAACACCACCATGGCTACTGTCATCTCTCTCGAGATGGAACCGGCTCTCACCAACCTCACAACCTGCATCAGCGTATTCCAGAGCCTCTCAGCCAACACGACCGCCGCAGCAATTGGTCTCGAATCCCAGGATGGGTATGGCTGTGGCTCAATCTTGACGGACGAGTGCGTCTCGGACTTCGAATTGGCGGTCAGTCAGACCATCGTGGAGGACTGCAGCAACTCAATGCCATCCATCCCAGACAGCTGCAGGGATCAGTTTGGCGATGTTACTGTCAACAGTGCGCTTTGTGAGTAGCAGTCCAGCCAGCAATGTTCAAAGGGGGGAGGAAGATCGTAGCTGACAAGACATAGCTATTGAATCTGCGGATGAGCAGATCATCTGGCAGGACGGCTCAATACCCGCCCCTCCAGGCAATGAGACCCTGTGGTTGGCGGCCGCCACCAACATATGGCCCGTCTTCGTCACTCCCGTCATGGTTGGGAACAATGGGTCAACGTTCACGGCTGTGACCTCCCTCAGCTGCCTCCGACCGGACACTTTCAAGGAGGGGACGGTGAGGCCATCTGCAGCGCCGAACGGGACTGAGTCTGGCGGTGCTGGCCCGACCGGAACAGGGACTACTGCTGGCGCGACGCCCTCTCCCACCAATGCTGCATCGCAAGCTGGTCTCACGGCTGCGGCTGTTGTACTTGGGCTTATCTTCAATGCGGCCATGCTGTTCATGTGAAGAGGCGGACCTCCACAGTCATTTAAATAACCATTCCTGTCCAAATATTGCTTCATTCTGTCTCACCACTGCTTGTTCATGCTGTCAACACTAAACAATCCACCCTTGTCGTCGTCCCTTTATCACGCGAGGCAACATTGCTTTCCCCATAATCATACCATGTAACCCGCTCATGTACCCCACCGACCAAACGCCACAGGTCTGCCCAAAAGTTCAAGCTGGTCGAGTCCTGGACGCTCTCGTGCCTTCCTGTGAACAGCACAGCACAGCCCGCGTTTGCACCTGACTACTTCTGGATCATTATGAGACGGAAAGAAGTCCAATCTCGTCATCCCCGTTTGCTGACAGCAAGCCTTCAATCCCGTTACACTCCTTTCTGTAAGGGGCTGTAGTATTAGTATTGTGGCCTCGATATTTGCAAGTCTTTCGACGTTGGCCAGCACGCCTCCCAACGAAGTCTTCTCGCGTTTGTCGCCGACTTGGAAAACAGCTTATACGTTCTTTGTAAGGCTGAACCATCCAGTCAAGGCATGCGCTGCAGCTTTCAGCCAACGCTAGCCAATGCTTCAACGGCGGTCCTCGCATCATTTCTCTTGAGCAACGCAACGCCCTGAGGTCTCTAGGGGCTCATCGTTTGGCAACGTTTGTGGGAACTCGACAAATACTCGAGCCTCAACTGACTTGGTCTTCGAAAATACCCCGTGGGACGCCGTCTGCTCCACTTCTATCTGAGCCTCAGACCGTTCGGCTGTTGTCAACTCGAGACCTGCTCTTCCAGGCTCTGTTCGGAATCCCTGGGTAGCAAGGTATATTGGCTACCCGGCTGTTTGACGGGCTTCGTGGCTCTGCCGTTTGAGATATTTGTGGAGCAGTATTGGAACAGTTCTGCCAGTCTGCCAACAGCTGAGGCCGCTCTGCCATCTTCAACATTCAATTGGCGCGTTTGCATCGCTGTTGGGTTGTATGGACTCGTTTGCTGTCTTGCAGACATCCTGTGTTAGTCTGGGATCAATTGGGCACAGAGGACCCCGAGACCCATAACATCTGTTGTCTGCCAGCACATCTTCCAGGGGAGCATTCACCCAATTCAACCCTGCTCACCAGCTCGCTCGGAAAAACAGTACTTCAGTGTACCCAACGAGCACACGAGCCAGACTACTACTTGCAACAAGAGGGTGTATTCAAACCGACCCCACCCAAAGATCCCAGTGCCGCAAAGCACCCTCTCGGCAACTAGATCAAGGCAGGGTCCACTTTCTTTCTCCTCCTGCGATTGCTTCCTGTCTGTCCAGGGCAGACCTCTCCAACTCGAGGCCAGAATCACTTTTGTCTTACCTGCAAAATCTCCTCCTGGCACATAGTCAAGGCCGTTTGGTTGTCGTACATCAACGATAAAGGTAAGCTTCAACCTATTTGGCATTCCAAACACAAAAGGCGACAGCCAACAGACTTCATACAGGTGTTCATCACAATCCCATTCGTCCACCCTTGTTCTCCCAAATCCAACACACCACCAACATCACTACCGCTCAGCTCGTCCACAGCCAAAGCCCTAGGTCAAATCAACACTTGTCCTCGTTCCTTAGCGCATTAATGGTGCTGCTGCATTACACCTAGAACCAAAGAGATACACTTTGCAATCCTCAGCACAAGTCCCCGCTAACCAATAGACCAGCAACTAGATTCAGTACACCGGGTCTTAATATCCATTTAGCGCCTACTCCCAGCCTACCCTGGCAGATAGTCTTTGAACCCTCAAAGCAACCAGCATCTAGTCATCAACCCCTGTCAAGATGCCTCCTGCACAGGTCAAGTCTGAGCAGGAGGACAATGGCCAGGAGTCTCCCGGAGTGCCTGCAATCCAGCCCAACCCTGGCGGCACTACCTCCCAGGATAGCGGCACCTCTCCAGGTAAGTTCTCTGCCCCGTTTGACTATCAACATCGAAGACACCCCTGGGTACAAACGAGACTTGCTCTGTACACATGACCTGGAATGGAGTACACTGGAGCCCCTACACTGCAATTCCAATACGTGATTGGGTGCCATTCTTCACAACATCCCAGTTATCCTGATGTAGCCAGAGCTCTGGACTACGTCCCCATTGGCACCTCATCCTGTCTCTCCCAACCCCCCTGAACCCTGGCCTTCTTCTCCATAATTATCGTCCTACTCTTCCCCTTTCTCAAACCCCAGTCATCGCCTACAAGCCAGCAAGCCGATGACGCTAACTGTCGTCCCAGGCTTTGGTTTTCCCAACGTCTTGAACACTCACCCCCTTCCAGTGATTCACGAGACTGAGGAGTCTAAGTTCAACTTCCAATCTCCTGGTCTTCAAGGTACAACTCTAGGAACTCAACCATACTCCTTCTCTGATCTTGGCAACCACGACAGCAACACCCTGTCCAACCCGTTTGATGACCCATTTGTCTCTGACTGGATGTACTCCGCTCGACCCTCCAACATGAACGCCATGTCTCGCAACATGTTGCCCTCCGCCCGCATTACTCGCAGCCAGGGTCTAGGGGGCTCTGGAACCGGCGCCAGGCGTCCGTCCCAACCGCAAGGCCAGACGGGCATCGCCACGAACCAGGCTGTGACTCGGGCAGCTCCTGATGGCATGGCAGGGATCCAGGGCCAGGCTTCCAACCAGGGTCAATTTCCCACCGTCGACCTCACGGGTATGGACTACGCGATCGGAAGCCCTAACTCCATGGGCCTTTACGGTGGTACCATGAACTCCATCCTCAACCCAAACGCCTTCATGTCGAGCGGCTACGATCCTTTCTCCACCACCGGCGGAGACGCACAGCAGACCCCACAGGGCCAGGGTACCACGGACATGAGCCAGATCCCCAAGTTCGACCCTGAGCTGCTCTCCGCCAGCCCGGACTTCATGAGTCCCGTCCAGTACGACAGCTTCGGAGAGGACGAGCAAGAGACCAAACCCGACCCCCGCCGCCTCCAAGCCGCCGAGGGCACTCCGACCCGCGCCCCGCGAGCCCGGCGAGCCCCGCGGACCCCAATGGCTCCAGCCAACATGTCCCCCGCCCCGGCGACCCCCAACGTCAACAGCCCAGGAGGCAGCGCCGTCGGGGCCCCGAGCAGCGGCGGCGGCGCCAGCGCCAGCGCCAGCGGCAACAACAGCACCGCCCGCCCCAGCCGCCCAGCGCACCAGGCGCACGTGCCCCCGAACCGGATCGCAGAGGCCGGCCCGGTGCCCCACCCGGACCCGGAGTTCCGGCCCTACGGCACGAACCACTGGCACGTGTTCCTGACGGAGCCGACGCTGCTCAAGTACCTGTCGAGCACGGAGATCAAGGACATCCGCGAGCACTGCTTCGGCATGGCGGGCAGGGCGACAGCGGCCAGCGGCGGGGGCGGGGGCGGGGGCGAGGGCGGCGACGACCAGCCGCTGCTGGTGCACGTCCCCGTGGCCGAGGGGTCCGCCTACACGACCGCCGACGCGCAGGCCGTCTGGAAGCACTGCGACGCCTACATCCGCCGCCGCGGCCAGGTGCGCAACAACCAGGCGGCGCGGCGCAGCCGCATGCGCAAGGACGCCGAGACGCGGTACTGGAAGGCGCTGGCGCTGCAGTTTGGCGCGCCCGACCACGACTTTGACTGGGGGCTTGTCGACGAGGAGGGGAACCTCCCTGCTAATATTCGCGCGCCGTCTGTCTCTGGTCCTACCCGCGCTGGTGGTGGTACTTCTGCGGAGGGCGGTGGTGGTCCGGCTACGCAGACCCGGGCGAGGGCGAGGGTCCAGATGGCGCTGGCCCAGCAGCAGCAGCTTGGTGGTGGTGATGGCGGTCTGGGTCAGGGCCAGCAGGGTGGTGGCGGCAGCGGCCAGGGGGGACAACAGCAGCAACAGGCGGCGAACCGACGCGCATCTTCTTCCTCCGTTGTTGCGGCCAGTCCTGGCTTCGACTTCAACCAGCCGCTCGGCTTCGACGAGGACGACAAGGCCAACGTCGGCAACTTCGACCCCTTCACCGGCGAGTTCTGATTTCCCAAGGTTGTCAAGTCGAGCCCGGAAGAAGGTTTACTGGGCCTATGACGCTTACGAGAGGGCGGGGCATCACGGCGAGTGAGGATTGCCTTGAGAGGTATGACAAGATTCACACGATGAGGATTGACTTTTTTTTTGGAAGGAGGACCCGGACCGATGTCTATATCTGCATTATTCGCTACCCCCGTCACAGCGGCGCGGCAGTCAACACTGAACAGGATGAGGTTCCAGGACTGACGGCGCAGGGGGAGAGATGATCGGTCTGTTATTTCTTTTATTTGATGATGAAAGGGGGGATATTCCGTCTGGTCGGGTCTGTTTCTTTTTTTTCATGAGGTCGAGACAGGCCTCATTGCTCATGAGCAGGCGTTGGGGCATGCATCACAGGCGTATTGGAAGGGATGGATGATACCCACTACGCGATGCATTTGATGTCGACAAGGTAAAAAAAAAGGGGGGGAAGAAAAACAAAAAAAAGGGGGACAGGAAGTACGGTACCAAGCTTCCAGAGGGGGGCAGTCGTCACCAGAGTCTGTCAGTCATTCGCTTTTTCATAAACCCAATATATTTAGGAAACTCAATGGTTGTGTGCCCGGTGAATCCGTAGGTGTTGTGTGCCTCGGATTACGTGGTTACGGTTGATCGACGGCCTCACGACTGCCTCTCGTGCTGTATTCTGCAACATGATCATGTTGGATGCTGGCGATACCAATGGTTCTTAGTCACGGACGTTGCTGGCTCCGGAATTTCCAGAACCACTGGAACCTTTAGATCGATGGCAGATGGAGTGCCTAAGCATTCTTCTCCATTCCGCCCTCCTCACCATCCCATTCTTACCGAGATCAACTTGATAAGGAGACGCCCCACGTGGCCGTGCCCCTAAGCTAAGTCGATGAACGTTCACGCAAGTATGCGGACGCCAAGGTGATGCTGCCTGTCTCAAACACTGGGCACTCAAGCCATGGAAGTGAACTCGATCCTGACACTGGTATAATTCAGGTCCACCTGTGCAAGATACACAGCAGTAGCAGGAGACATTGCTTCGCAGCGTGATAGATTCTTCCTGCAGGTATCCATCGGTCCAGGAGCCCCCCCCCCCTTGATAGAGAGGTTCCGGACGCATGGAAGGCATCCAAAACACACCCAACACACAATATCTAGAAGTCTTTGCCGTCTGTCTAGCCCCGAGAGAACAACACACACGCACACATCCAGGAGCGCCATGCCCAGAAACACACCCCAAGGCCCCCCCCCCCTTCCTCACAAGACCACCAACCTACCGCTCATGCACCAGCCTCCCCTTGACCCAGACCTTGCTCGTATTCCGATCATCCCCATTAAACAACCACTTGGCCACCATCTCCTCCCAGCTCTCCCACCCAAACACGTCCACGTTGCCCAGGTCCCCACCACCTACACCACCACCATCCCCACCGTCACCGTCCTCCCCCACAACACCAAGCGCAACAAGCTGCGCATCCCACTGCATCCCGACCTCGAACCCCCCAACAACCCCCTCGAGCCCGACGCACCGCGCCCCGCCCACGGTGGCGAGGTGCAGCACCTCCTCGACGCTCAGCTTGGCCGCCTCGTCCCCGGCCATGGCGACGTGCCGCGACACCAGCAGCGCCTGCCGCGCCGCCTCCAGCACGGACGGGCTGTACCCCCCGCTGACGTCCGTCCCGAGCCCGACGTCCACGCCGCGGCCCAGCAGCCACCGCACCCGCGCCGCGCCCGACGTGATGGCGCTGTTGCTGCACGGGCAGTGGCTGACCTTGGCGCCCCGCGCCGCGACGAGCGCGACCTCCGCCTCGGACAGGTGGACCGCGTGCGCGAGGACCGTCCCTGGCCCGAGCAGCCCGAACGCGTCGTACACCCCCGCGTACCCCTTTCCCGCGGCGGTCTCGGCCGGGAACAGCGCCGCGACGAGGCCCACCTCGCCGGCGTTCTCGCTCACGTGCGTCTGCACCGCCAGGTCCTCGTCCGCCGCCAGCCTCCCCAGCGCGGCCATGCTCGCCGCCGTGCAGCTGGGCGCGAACCGCGGCGTGACGGCGGGGCGGACCAGCTCCCCCCGCGGGTCGGCACGGCGCACGTGCTCGACGCACTCGCGCGTCCGCGCCAGCCCCTGCGCGGCGTCCTCGTCGCGGTACCAGGGCGGGCACGTGGCGGGCTCGTCCATGCACACGCGGCCGACGAGGGCGCGCTGGCCCCGCGACAGGCAGAGGTCCGCGAGGAGGTTCGTGGCCGCCGGGTCGAGGGCGGCGAAGTAGGCGGCGCAGGTGGTCCCGTGGGCGAGGGTGCGGCCGACGCAGCGGGCAAAGACGCGGCGGGCCTTGGACGGGTCGGCGCCGAGGGAGGCCTCGAGGGGGAAGGTGTAGGTGGTGAGCCAGTCGAGGAGGGTCGACTTGCCGAAGATGCCTGCGTTGGGGTACTGCGAGGCGTGGATGTGCGTGTCTATGAAGCCCGGGAAGAAGAACCTGACGGGTGTTGGTGTTGGTAATGAGGAGCCATCACCAGGGGTAGACGCAGGCGACGGCGACGGCGGCGACGTGTCGTGTATCCTACACTCGGCGGCGCTCCACCCCAGCCGGTCCAGGGTCTCGTCCAGCGCGCGGGTGAGGTTGTCGCGCCCCCTCTCGACGGCGACGATCGTCCCCGTGCCGCCCTCGACGAAGACGGCCGTGTTGTGCAGGTACTCGAGCTCATCGAGGGTCTTGGAGTGGATGAAGGTGCCGATGAAGACCTGGTTGGGAGGGGGAGGAGGGGACGAGGATGGGGCACTCATATCTAAGCAAGTAAGTACCTAGGTATTTATTTTGAGTGGGTGGTTGGTTGGTGTACTCCGTAGTAGTACCTGGGGCCGAGGAGAAAGAGCCTATGAGTGGTGGGTGAGATACTGTATGTAGGTGTATGTAGGTGTGGTTCCTCTGGTTCGGCAGAATGCAGCCAGTCGGCCAGCACAGCAGGAAGCGTAGGTTTGTTTGGGGTCGTGCTGTCTTGCTGTCTTGCTTGCCTGCATGGGCGCACGCACGGCTGCGGGGGTCCAACTTATCCAACTGACAGCTTGCCTGTGCCAGTAGTAGGTTTGTAACACCTGGCTTACCCGTGCTTCTTTGTTTCTCGTCGAGCCAAGCTGTCAGTAGGGCGCCCGCTATCTTATCACGCGTGGCACAACCGACGTCTCCCGCGTGTCCCTTCAACGACAGATGCTCGCCAGCTCGGGTGTGTTTGGGGGGTGCAAGATTGTATGCACGTCGACACGGTATGCAATGTTCGGGCCAGTCTCAGCAATGTGACAGCTTGGTAACATACGGATGTCTAAGACGTCTCTACTTTATTTCCGACTCGATCAGGACCATACACCTGTCTAATAAATGCATCCGCAGTAAAATAGCCTTCCCGCAAAAACACGGCCAACGCCGGCGCCCGCCCCTCGGCTCAAACGGATCCCGGAAAACGGCCTGTCCCATGTCATCTTATCAGTGTCGGACCCACCCCATCACTAACACCCATTATTATCTCATCACCACATATCCTTCCCCCTAATGCAATCCATGCCTGCATCGAGCCTCGGCCTTTTAACAAAATCTCGCCCTAAGAGAGGGCTAGCCGCCCGCCGTCATTCCAGTGCCGCCGCACTCACTCAGTCTACTCCGCGTGCACACCGTTGGTGCCGTTGATCCCGTTGCTGCCATTAACAGCCGTGGCGCCGTTGACACCCTCGACCGGTCCGGTGCCATCACCTTGGTACGAATCCCAGTTCGCCAGCACGTTGGCAATGCGGGGCGAATTGGTCAGCTTGTACACGTCCTCAAAGTACTCCTTGGTCAGGGCAAATGGCTTGGCCGTGACGTTGGGGATGTACTTGCCCACCAGCTTCGACGGGTCGATGGTGGTCTTGTTGATCTTCTTGAGCAGGAAGGACCGGAAGGGCTTGACACCGCTGCGCAGGAAGGTCGAGTGGAATGGCACGTCGATGCCCTTGAGCGGGATCGTGGCGAATCCCCTCTCGAGCTCCAGCGGCTTGGGCTTCTTCTCCGTCTGCGATGCACCCTCCTGGATGATCTGCACCAGGTGGCCCTTCACCTCATCGATCGACATCTCGCCCATCATCTTCTCGATGTTGATCTTCTGCACCTTGAGGTAGTTGCACACAAATCCTAGCGTGTCCAGGGCACGGAGGTCACCAGCACACACGTACTGCATGTTGGCGATGTTGAAGTTGACAATCTCCAGCAGCCAGCCAGTCGCCTCGGCAACATTGGCAACAACGAAACGCAGGGCGTCCTCGTTGAACGTGTTGGAGATACGGCTGGGGTTGACAGCGCACATGGAGTAGTTGGAGCGGCCCGAGGCATCACGCTCCACAGCGACCTGCATCGTCAGACCACGGTAGAAGACGACCGATACCAGGGACTCGATTGGCATGACCTCGGCCAGCGCCGCGAGGGCGCTGTACTCGCCCAGGGAGTGTCCGGCAAAGGTGTTGTCGCGGGGAACAAGACCCTTGGCCTTCATGTCCTCGAAGGATGCCTTCTCCATCAGTGTCAGGGCAGGCTGTGTGAACTGGGTGGCCGACAGAAGACCGCTGGGCGACTTGTACGTGTAAGATGGGGTGCTCTCGTTGATCTCCTTGAAGATACGCTCAGACTTGATGGTGCCGTCTGCTGCCACCGTCTCGAAGGTCATCGCCATGTAGTTGGCCCGGATGGCCTTTCCACGCGGGCCACCAAAGTGGATCGTGAGCTCCTTGGGGTTGTTCTTCACGATGTTGGTGATGGCGAAGCCTAGGGCCGTTAGCATGCGATGATCCAGTGATCGGGGGACCGAGGATTAGAAACTTACCATAAGTGTCCATGAGGTACTTGTCCGCGCGGTCCCAGACTTCCTTGGCCACGTCACTGCTGTTGTACAGATCCATACCCATGCCCTGCTCCTGGGAGCCTTGGCCGGTGAAGACGTAGGCGGTCACAGGCTGCTCGACCTCGGCCTCACCAAGGAGGACCTTCTCCTCGGTCTCCTTGTTGCTGGCCTCGACCTTGACGATCTTGCGTCCAGCCACCATGCCCACATGCTGCATCTTGACCTGGATCTCATCGTTGGGCAGCACCATGCCAACGAGGGAGGCGTGGAAGCTTCGGACACGGCCCACGTTGTTCTCGGCTGCCCAGGTCTCTACCAGACTTCGCACAGCAGCGCTGGAGTACATGCCGTGTGTGATGGTGCCAGGCAGGTTGGCATAGGTGGCGAAGACTCGCGAGACGTGGATGGGGTTGTAGTCACCAGACACACGAGCATATCCCTCGTTGGACGCTGGGGCTCTGAGCTGCAGAGGGGTCTTACCGCTGAGAGGAATCGGGTTCTCGAACATGACGGGCTGCTCGATAGATGCGCCATTGCGCTGCAGATAGTCGATGACTGGGTTGCCATGCGACACGCCCGAGGAATAGTCAACAGATGCAACCTGCACGATCTCCTTTGTCGGGAGCTCAAGGACAACCTGGCCGCGGGTCTCGACGCTGCTGTAGGTGGTCTTGGTCTTGTAACGCACGAGGGACTCCAGACGGAAAATCAGGACCTTGCCGAGCAGGTCCAGGTTAAGGGCCTTGTCATCGACCTGGAACCACTCCTTGGACTTCAGCACAGCGACATCCTTGGGAGTAGCAAGGTGCATCTGCATCGGCGTCTCGGTCTTGCGCTGGAAGGTGTTCTCGAAATCGGTGTAGTTACCACGGTACAAGAACTGAGATGTCACCTCCATGACGTCCTCACCGTCACGCTCGATGGTGCCGCAGACCTCGACCATCTTCCCAGACTCCTGGTTAATCACAGCATTAACGCGAGCAGTGGTCGTAAGCTGGTCGCCCTTCTTGAGAGGTTCGGCGCCAGGCAACATGCGGAACTCGTTCGAAAGGTGGACAAGCTTCAGCAAGTCACCGTCGATGGTGCGGGGGAAGATGGGCTTGGTGATAGCCTTCCAGCCGACGACAATGGCGAAGTCCATTGGCGCATACATGATCTTGCCTGGTCGGTCAATGAAAGCCTCGCCGTGGTTGCCGACAGCATGAGCGAAGTCGTTGATGGCCTCGCTGGTGACGGTTGCCTTGCCACCATCGAACCTGCCAGTAACAAGGGCGTCGAGGTCCAACTTCTCGTCGCCGAACCACGCTCGCCAGTAGAACTCCTTGATGCGGTCATTGCGTCCCTCCATGACTTCGTGGATGGGTGCGTAACCAGCCTCAGGGTGGTAGATGAACTCGAGAGGTAGCGAGACGGGTTTGCCGAGGGCCGTGGTGTCCTTAACCATGTTGACGACAATCTTGTTGTTTGCCTCCATCTTGACCTCAATGACGTTCACATACTGGTTGTGGCGGGGCTGCTCCTTGACAACAATGGTCGTCTTCTCCGGAGTGTTGGGGTACAGGATCTCAACATACAATCCCCGAGCTGGCGCAAAGATGCGCTTCATGGGGTTCGTCTGGTACTTCCGGCCTTGGACAACGACCTCAGACAGGAGCAGAGCATGTCGCCAAGAACGCTTGGGCCCGGCGAGAAGCGCAAGCCAGTCCTCGATCGAAGGCAGGACTGCCGTGGGAGAGTTCGACACGCGGTATGTGTTCTTGTTGTTATCATATGACACAGTAACACCCTCGGAGTCGATAGGAATCTCGGAGTCAACGAGCTTGCCACCGAAGTACTCAACGACAGGGATCTTGGTCTCGTCATTACCGTACATGTCGCGGGTCAGGTAGCTGATGTGGCCATTGTGGATGCCGTCGAGGATCGACTTGATAGGCTCGTCGGCAACCTTGGAGTACTTGACCGCGGTAGGTCCTTGCAGGATACACGTCCGGCCGACGTCTTGATCCATGACGGCATCCAAGTCCTCGGACTGCCAGAGAGAATCCTTCTTGAAGTAGAACTCGAAGTTATCGTCGAAGACTGGCACGAAGGTGACTGGCTTCTGGAAGGGGTTCATGCACAGGTTCAGGAAGTACTGGACATCCTGGGCGTTGATGATCTGCTTGTCGGCCTCAGGGTAGTGCGACAGGATCTTCTCGACAGCAGAGTACGGCTCGGCCAGCTCGGAGTAGCTCTGCAGAAGCGAGGGTTTGCCTGGTGTAGACGTGAAGCGCTCCTCCACACGGTGGATGAAGTCTCCGGTCATCTTGGTGAAGGTGGGATCGATCCAGCGAGATTGGTGCTTCACGTACAGCAGCTCGACCAGTCTGCGCACGACCTCACCGTAGGTCATGTCGTCGAGATCGACCGCCTCACCAGCCGCGTTCTTGCCGAACCAGACTTTCTGGAAGTCCTCATTGAGCTTCTTGATGATGTAAGAGCGGTTCTTCTTGAGTTCGGGGACCCGCTTCTCCTTGGGCAGAGTGAAGATCCTCTTGTCCATCTCAGCCCAGAACCTAACACCACGGGTGGCAAGCTTGTGGATGGGCTCGCCCATCTCAGAGCGGACCGTGAGAACACCACCGGTGGGTTTCTCGTATGTCTTCTCCCACTCGCTGTCCTCAACACCTTCGGCTTCAACAATGGCCTTCTTGGCGTCAGGGCTCGTCTTCGCCTCCTTGGCCACCATCATTCTGCTACCAAAGAGACATCCATCGTAGGGCATCGGGGGGTAGCCAAACTTCTTTGACCACTCTCCGGTGATGTAAGGGTAAGTGTCTTCGGCACCGCCGAAGCCACTGCCCGCAACGAGGATGATGTTCTCCTGGCGACGAATCCTGCCATACATCTGCAGGATGGGGTGGTGGAAGTCCTCAAACGAGTGGTGACCACCGCCACGACCACCGGTCCACTGAAGCATCACAGGGAATGTGGGGTTTGCCTTCGCGATGTTGATGACGGCCTGGATGGCTTCAGAAGAGCCAGGCTTGAAGGAAATGTGCTTCAGACCCAGAGTCTCAATGTACTCTTGAGCAACCTCGATGGAAGGGACACCAGCCCCAATTGTAAGACCCTCAATTGGCACACCCTCGGCACGCAACTTGCCGAGCATGGGGATCTGCCAGGCCATGGCTCTTGGGTTCACGTAAATGAGGTTGACGCCAATACCGCGACCAGCAGGGATGGCCCCCTCGATTTTGCGGAGCGCCGCAGTCATCATGCCGGGGTCGAAGTAACCACCTCCGGCCAGCTCAATGTGGTATCCAGCCTGCATCGTGGCAGCCACGAAGTCCCATGGCACCGTACAGGGAGTCATACCGGCAACCATGACCGGGGGAATGCCCAACAGCCTGCTCATCTTTGTGTCCACAAAGGTCTGGCCGTTGGAGTTCTTGATCAGCCTTGGGCCGTACTCTTTAACCCAGTCGATGGCATACTTGACAGCATGCTCCTCGTCACGGTCAAAGATCTCGGGCTTGTAGCCGACGTCGTTGGCTGAGCCGCTGACGGTGCCAGCAAGAATGACGCGGACACCGCTGCCCTCCTTGTTACGGCTGGTGAGGATGCCGAGGCCAGAAACACCACCCGGGCCGAAATCCAGCACGTGTGTCGCGTTCTCGAAGACTGTCGCCTTCTCCCAGTTCACGGTATCGCGCGTGATCAGGCGAATCAATGTTGGCACGACGTTGCCCTTGACTTCCTCGCGAATGTCCTTGCCAGTGTTGGTGTCGTAGACGGGGATTGCGAGGGACGCGGCGTCGATCTTGATATCCTTGAGGTCTTCATCGATCAGAGCGGTTGCCTCGGCCAGGTACTTGCTGTGGAATGGAGCAGTGATGGGCAGGAAGCGGTTGACAAATCGAACCTTCCGCTGCGTGTGCGGAATCCGCGTCTGGTCGAGACCCGTAGGGGCCTTTACTTTCCGGAGCTGCAGGTTGAGACCGTACAAGGACATGGGAGGTCCAGTCACGACCATGTTACGCGGGCTGTTGATAAGAGAAATGGCGATGTGTCGGTCGGCGGGCAGGTACTTGTTTGTGGCATCGATGTGCGTCTGGACCTGCTCTTGCGAGAGGTCACGGATGCTCAGCATGGGCGTGGGGGTTCCCTCGCCGTTCTCGATCGAGTCCTGCAGGACCGAAGGAGTCATGGAGGTTCGGGGGAAAGTCTGCTGGCTGCGAGCTCCGATCCAGAACAGGATCGAGAGCGAAGACCTGACGATTTCAGGCCAGGTCTCCCAGGAGTCGGCCGCGGCAGTGGCAGCTGCCATGACGACACCTTGAGAGTGACCAGTGGTGCCACTGATGCGCTCCCGCAGAGTGCCTGGGTGTATTCCGAGGGCCTTGCAGGTGACCTCGTAGTGCGCCAGCTGCACAAGTCCGATCAACGGGAAGCTCACAGGAGCGGTGATCAGGTAGTCGACGTCCGGGGTGGCTTCTGGGTTTTGCAGCCAGCTCATGATGTCCAGGCCCTTGGTGAAGAGCTTCTCGGCGGCAGGGTTGTTGGCGAGGGTCTGCAGCTGCTCTGCGGCAGTCATGATGAGCTCGCCGACGAAGGATGGGTAGGTCTGCCACAGCTCCCGCAGCTCCTCGAAGTACTCCTCGATGTTGCCCTGGCCACCAAAAATGTTGTAGATGGAGGCATCTCCTTCCTCAGATGCGCGGAAGAGGGCAGACTGGTGGGGGCGGACGGCCCTGTTCAGGACCGACCTGGAAGCGTAGTAGCTTCGGAGGACTTCTGACTTCTTTGCGTCGATGCCAGGCAGGGTGGAAACCAAAGCGTGGACATCGTTACCGCGGAGGAAGGCACGCTCGAACTCGTTGAGGATCAGCTTGAGCACATCCTCGTAGGAGCCCTGGGAGTCGTCCTCGCCCTTCTCGACCTCCTGGGCAATGAAGCCCATGTACCTGGCGACGAGCTCAGGGGTGGACGATGGCTCGTCATCCTGGGCGAGCTCGTCGGTTGGTGGTGGGAGACTCGCACTGAAGCGGTCTTTTAGTTGTAGGGCGTGGAAGTGGAGGCTTGTAGGGATGAGGAAAGAGGTTTCGAGAGTGCCGTGCGAGACGGTCAGAGGTCGGAGGGAGGCAGAAGACCGAGGGGTCGACACGCCCGTCTGAGCGCCAGTACCGGTGCCGTACATGGTGGAAAAGGGGTATCGTCTATGAACTCTACGGATATCTCGAGGAAACGGTCAGCACAAGCCCGTCGATTTGGAGAAGCGCCAGCGCCAGCGCCAGCGCCAGGGACGGACAGCTTACAACTTGCGTATCTTCGTCTCGAGAATACTCGAAATACTCAGTCAAGAGCAGCGAGTGCAAAACTCTATCGCGGTGGAAACACAGTGGAAAGAAGGCTGGAGGCCACACGAAGCGAAGATGTTGGCGCACTGGAGTTGGGGCCGAAGAGGAAGAGTGCGGATGGTGGTAGTGGGAGGAGTAAGAGAGGAGCGGGAAGGTGGTAGAGGACGATGAATAGATCAAGTGTGCAAGGAGTCTATGGTGGTTGCAACTTGGACGAGCGGGGAGGGCAGGGTCCAAAGTTATCGATTGGGGGGAGGGAGGGAATGAGGAAGCTACGAGGAGGGTGCCCGAGGCCGATGTGGTTGATGCTCGTCGACTTCTTTTCTTTTTCTGCGGCAGGGCTGCTCCAACCAACAGCGGCTGCTCTCAAGGACAAGCGGAGCGATCAATAATGCCGGGGGCGTTCAAAACCAGTTCCCTTGGTCCTTGCTAGCCTTGCAGGACCGACTGCACAGCACATCAAATCAAGACGGGCTGGATGGGAGGGTATGTTGAACCAATCCACCGATTTCAATTTCGATTCCCAACAAACTTGTCCTGGCCGTGGCTGTCCTGCCTGCGTGCAGGGGTGCCTGCATTTTTGCCAAGGGGGGTCGACTGGCCGCGGGGGACCCTAGCCCCACGCGAACTTTTTTTGCCGTGTTCCTGCCTGCCCTCTGCACCAAAGAACACCAGGGGCCCCTCCTTCCTGGGGCGTCATTTCTAGAAGCCGTGGCAGCACTGGGCAGCAACATCGTCGTCACTCAAGTCTGTTGCAACAGCCAAATTCAGCTTGTTGTCCATCATATATGAACATACTGAAATGCTCAAATACTCAGATATGCAGAACAAGTCTAAAGCAAATGCACGGCTTGCCCTCGACAAGAGAAGAATCAACCGGACCGCGTGGACAGCTCCCGTCACCGCCTTCCAAGGGTCGAGTGACAACAGCGCCTGCCGCTCTTAAACTGACTGGGGAAACGGCTCCACAGGCGCGTCATCCATTGAGGTACCGGTACATTGGTCAATGGCTTAATCGACAACAACGGTCCAACCGCTTGGTGAGCCCCATCCGAAAAATAGCTCCCTCCCCCCACCGGCTCGACGGAAGCGCCACACGACGGGCTGCAACGCAACCTCGGGCCAGGGGCAAAGACGTGAACAGCCGATGCATCGACGGCGCATTTCAAACCCGTCAGATTTCGACGAGTTGAACCCCGAGCTCACTTCAAACGCGCGGCTCACTGTCCATGCTGCAATTCTCGCAGCAACCGCATCTTTGTTGTGCCACTTGCCTTTAAGGCACGGAAATAGACCCCGAGCGCCCGCAGCTGAGACCCCAGGATCCTGCGAGTGATATTAGATTCCCCCCATGTCAGAAATCCTGCGACAGACTAGACTAGACAGCTTTCATTTCTGATGGACTGTCGTTACACAGGCTAAGAATACCTTCGTAGTGAAGCAGTCCAGGTTTTGATATGGGAATTTTGGCACTTGCGACACGGCGTCGATTAGTAGATGCTCTGGTTTGTGTTCAACCTAGCTGCTTAGAAGCGCGGCTATCCCAGTCCAAAGGTAAGGAGAGACCGCAGTAGCCCAGTAATATGCACATCAGCCTTTCTGCACGTCACAATCGCCTAGCTGTTCCACTACCTACTTGCTTTCCGCCCTACATGTGCACAGGACGGAACTTGTTGGCGCCAAATAACCAGGATCCTTGCCCTACAGGCTCAGTAAGGTCTGGCGAGGTTGGCTGATCATGCCATCTGGCTGCGATGCTTTCTCTCTGTCACGTCCACTTTCAAAGCCAACAGTGTTGATGAGAGTCAAGATTTGCTCTGGCTAGTGGGATATGTGACGTTGAGGACAAGCCTGTGGCCGCAGGTGACTAACATGAAGATACTGGGTTCAGACAAAGGCATTATCTCCCTGGCAAGTGTTTATCAAGCGTGTGATTTGCCTTGATGCGACTCCGCAAGCGGCATGGCATATCGGGACACGAGACGGCTCATCAATTGAGGATAATGTAGAAGACGGTTTCGTCTGAGCACCCATCAAAGCCCGGCATATATACAGTGGTGTCGATGAGTGCCATGTGCTCGCCAGGCACGGGCCAGGACAGACGCATAGCCCAGCCGTGTACCGAGACTTGAGGACTACCCAGGCAGGAGAAAGACCCTGAAATCGAGAACATGGGCCCACTAAGGCCGGCGGGTGTAATTAAGCTTGTAGCGAGCCCGCTTCCCCCCAGTACATGGGAACCATGGCCCGGTGACCGGGAGCGTACAGGCCAGAACGAGTGACAGAAGGCTGTGCTTCACTCCAGTACACCGTACCGACAGAATGGCCTGTCCATCGGGGGGTTGCAATGTACCGAGTACGTCGGCGGGTAGGTACTCGGAGAAGGGTGTGGGTGGCCAGAGAAGAAGCCGTCTCCGCGTTGAATCCACTGTCGCATGGAGTGCCTGGGCGTCCACAGCCCAGATCCAGGTATAACGGCATGTCCCAGCCGACCAGCATGGGCGATCATCACGACAGACGCATAAGCCCGACGGTTCTCCAGGGGGAACATAGGCCGGCTGAGAAGGTATCAAATTCCCAAGCCGGATCGGCCCCGGCGGGAGTAGGACAATGGCGGCCGGCAGGAGCCTTGCTGCATGTCGATAACGATAGAGTATCGATAAAGCTCAAGCTCGAAGCTCCCCAAGATGGACCTAGCTCCCGACCCGAGACGACAGGAGCGAGGGTAGCAGCAAGCCTTGGGTACTACCCGTGCTCGATCGTACCACTTCGGAGATCTGGAGCCAAAGGCTCGGAGGGCCTGATAGCTCCGCGCAGGAGATACGAGGACCTCGGACCGAGAGTCGAGCTCTCACCGGCAGGGAGGCATGAGGATGAGCATCTTGATGGGGGATGGGAAACGCGTTGACAACGAGTGGTCGGCCGAGAGTGCCTGGGGGTTCCTCAGCAAAACGCACGCACGGTTGCGTCGACTCGAATCTCGATAGCCCGAACGGCCTTGGCTGAGCTTATCGCCTGGGAGATATGTAGCCGTTGCGGTCCTAGCTTGGAACGGCAATGCGATGCGCCATCGCTAATGGCCAGCAGGCAGTGGTGGGCAGCTGGGCAGGCTGGGTTGGTCTGTTTTTGGCAGGCTGTCGTGTCGTCGCGAGCATTGAAACGGATGGGGTTGTACTGCAGATGGGCAGACGGGCAGAACTGTGGGGGCCACCTCTCCAAAGAAAGCAAAAGGCTAGAGCGCCAGAGGCCAGAGGGCGGCCGAGCCAAGCCTGCCTGTCCCAAGCAAGGCTGACAGGGGTGCACGACCACCCCCTTCCCACCCCACGAAAAATGAGAGCACGTACCCAAGTACCGGGTACAAGCCTCCCGCCCGCTGGTAATTGCTGTGAGACTGGTGAACTTTGCTCCCGGTGTGGCTACATAGGTACCCCCAACGCTTTCAAGGATTGTTCCTTCCTAGGCCCAACAACGCATACCTCGTCCGCCAACTTTTTTTCCAGGGAGGGACGTATCCGGTGACCTGGAAGTCGACAACGGGCAGAAGGAGCAAATTTGGGTTGCATGAAGCCCGTCAGTTGTTGACAACCGTCGTTAATTGCCCCGTTGCCGCCTGCCATCCAGTCCCTGGTCCCCTTCTCCGCCCTCACTAAACACCACAGAGGGTCGAGGTCGAATACTTCCTTGAGACGCCTGGGTCCCTCCTCCCTCATTACCCACACCCCCCACGACGGCCACACACAGACACACACTCCCCGTTCCTACCTCTTTCCACGACTCCAAGCTCTACCTCCTCCCCCCCTTCTGACCTCCAGGTGGTAGTGTCCAGACCTCTCTTCGCCTCCACACAAGAAACTCGGAGACATCCCTCGAAGAATTCTCTCCCGGATCTCCTCGAGAGCAGCCAACGCATCCACCACCCTGGCTTGCCTCGTTTACAGCCTAATTCTTTCCAAGATACCCGCCGTCGATTCTTGAGCATTCTTTCTTCGCGCGACACGTCCCTTTTCCCACACCGAAGCCAGCCACTCCGCTGCCAGCAAGATGAGGCCCGAAGTTGAGCAGGAGCTCGCCCACACGCTCCTCGTTGAGCTCCTTGCATACCAGTTCGCCTCTCCCGTGAGATGGATCGAAACTCAAGATGTCTTCCTCGCCGAGAAGACAGCAGAGCGGATCGTCGAGGTCGGTCCTGCTGATACTCTCGGCGTGATGGCCAAGAGGACCCTCGCATCCAAGTACGAGGCCTTTGATGCTGCGAAATCAGTACAACGACAAATCCTCTGCTACAACAAGGATGCCAAGGAGATTTACTACGATGTCGACCCGATCGAGGAGGAGCCAGAGCCCACACCCGCTGCCAGCTCAAGCGGTGCATCAGCACCAGCTGCTACCGCTGCGGCCCCCGCTGCTGCTCCTGCGGCCGCTGCCCCGGCTGCCAGTGCCGGCCCTGCTGCCGCGGTTCCAGACGCGCCCGTCTCTGCTATGGACATTGTGCGGGCGCTGATTGCACAGAAGCTGAAGAAGCCACTTGCCGATATCCCTCTGAGCAAGGCTATCAAGGATCTTGTTGGCGGTAAGTCCCCAGAATCATGCCTTAATCTCGGTGGTCAATTTGAACCAGTAGGCTAATATAGGTTTGATACAGGCAAGTCCACCCTTCAAAACGAGATCCTAGGCGATCTAGGAAAAGAGTTTGGCTCAACACCAGAGAAGCCCGAGGACACACCTTTGGACGAGCTTGGAGCGTCCATGCAGGCCACTTTCGACGGAAACCTGGGCAAGCACTCGCAGTCTCTGATTGCTCGCCTGATTTCTTCCAAGATGCCCGGTGGCTTCAACGCCA